ATCGTGGTATAAATGACTTATCCTTATCTTTGCGAAATATCTTAAAAAATAAAAATCATTTTTATCTTGGTGTTCCAATTTTCATTTACTTCCTAATTGTTTAAATATTTACTACATGCTAATTATTTTTTAAATGGCCATGATTGACCATTTTTCAAATGGTTTTGCTGGACAAGTGATGAGAAAAAGTTCATTATTAGTAAATTGATAGAAAAAAATATTGATTTTTTTTCTTTTTCCACAGTTTTGAAGTTTAACTATTTAAGAATACGTGTACGAGAGGATTTTTGGAGATGCAGCAGTTTGACCATGATAACTTCTGTTTCCTTCTATTTGAGAAACTCTGAACGTTTTTCTCAAAACTGTCTTTTTCAATACGATGTCCACGATTTCTCGAGTTTTACTTGAAATTTCCGGAGAATTTTCCTTATAGATATGTGCTAGATACACCTCCAAATTTTAGTTTTTACTATTTAAAAAAAAATCGAGAAACAGTTTCAAACAGTTTGTCAAAAAATATTTTTGAAATCAATCCTAGTATATACTATTAATACATCATTCTAGATTAATACTTTCTTTTCTAATTTCGATTTAGGTTGCAATCGTGGGCATGGTCACATATCAACTTTTTGAGACCCTCCTCATTTCGCCAGACCCCCCACTTCAACACACTGATAATTTTGAACTTTTTTTTTAAATTATGAACTTTTTTCTGTTTTAATTTTTTTTTGTACTCTTGTAACGTTGATGAATAAATTATAAACTAGTGGTGTATGGCATCGTGCCTTAAGGCAAATTGCTGGAACTTCTCGTACCGTATCGAAATGTTCGAGGAATATTAAATGTTTTTAAATGGAATATTATAAATACTATAACTTATGTATCTTTACAGAAAAGTAAATAAACAAAATTTAATCAATGGAATTTAGAATGAAGAACATTGTCTAATATTTATAAGAACTATATAAACTGAATAGCAAAGTTAAAATTATTTATTTGAAGTATATAAGCCAAAATGTTCAGAAACCTTCAAAACGTAAAGAAATGCCCAACTTTCAATTTCGATTTTTGAACGATTACAATAACTTACCCTACGGGAAGTAAAAAAATTACAATTTTTTTCTTTTCCATTTTTTCAAAGTTTAACTATTTAGGAATATGTGTACGATAGAAATTTGTCAGAGAATTTAATCCTAGTATATACCATTGAGATATCATTCTAAATTAATAATCAATTTTTTCTTCATTTCGATTTCACTTTTTTACGTCACGTATCAACTTTCTGAAACTATCCACATCAACCACTGCTAGTTTATAAAATTATTAACTTTAATTGTTTTATTTGTTTTTGTACTCTTGTAACGTCGATGAAAAATTATAAAAAAGATGATAGTATAAAAATGTATTGCCTTTTTTCGATAATTCAAAAACGACCTAAAATTCATGCATATATCCTAGAATACCCCCTTAAATTGTTTATCGTTTTTTATCTATAATAATTTAGCTGCAAAAATCTTAATAGCATACTACTTCAACGTGAAACAAAAAATCAAAGTTTATATATATATATATATATATATATATATATACATATATACAAATATTTTGTAGTCAATTGTCAATTGTCATACTTCTGAAATGTTATTACTTCCATAATTTTATTCATTTTATATAAAAAGTACACCTGCTTCTACTATTCTTAAATATATTCTTTATCAAGATCATGTTTCTTGACAGATGTCCAGAAGATGGAACGTACCTAGTTCCAAAACGTCGACAATAAATAAATAAAGAAATGGTTTTTTAAAAAAACTTTCTTTGTTTTTTATTACTTTATGGATTATTTGTTCGAAGCTCTACAAAATATTTACAAATCCAAGACTCTACCATCTATATATTTAATGTATATATATATATACATACATATGTGTGTGTATGTGTATAAGATGTAAGTCTGTACTTAAGTGCCTAAATATATATGCACCTATCTTATATGAGCCTACTAAAACTTTTACTAACTCCATTAGTCATTTTCGAGTTTCCTTCGCTATTATTTTCCCGACGATCGATATTTTAATGCAAAATTTTCACATGGCGGCGCGTCGCTCACCTTTTGACAGATGAGTAGCTGTTAGATAAGGAAAATTGAAGAAAAGCTTTTTATTTAGTGCTCATCCTAATAGTATTAAGTTGTTTGTTGTATTATGTAACAATTATTGAATTAAAGTGATTGATAAAATGGTGGAATTTCGAATTGAACAAGTGCTCAATTGTGGTGGAATAAGTCATAGTAACATTATGGTTATTTATTTTTGTGGCAAATTGTAAGGATGGTTATATTTTGATGGCTAAATTAATACCGCAAATTAAATATTTAAACCTATCGATTATACAATAAATAATGTGAACTTATGCTCAAACAAGCTCTCAGCTAAATATTTATACTGAATTTGAAATATGTGCAATCTTGAAATTTAATGTTCAACTATAATTAGACGTCTGTAAAATATTTTTTATTAATATAAAACTGCATGAATAAATTATTTTAACAACTTCGTTTTATATGATCTGTTGATCATTCTAAATCCAAAATGCATAAAATGCATTATTCATAATATTGATTGAAATCATTCAAACTCCATCTGTGATTATAATATATTAAATCAATTATCCCCCAATAGTTCTCAAATCTAAAAAAAAATCTTCTTGAATTATTTTTATTGAATTATTTATATTACTATTTGGCAAAATGTTTTCCAAAAGTGGATCGTTTTGCTTGAAATTTCATAAAAATATTATTTGCTGATAAATATTTAAAAAAATGTGATTTGTTGAGCAATGTAAACCAAACGGTGTTGTTATGAGTGAGTCAAAAATTGGATTAGTTTGGGATTGTGGAAAATTCAACTTTACTAAATTATCTGGTTGCTTATCGATAGGATAACGTTACTTCATGTAAGTATAATAATAGAGTTATATTCAATAATAGAGAATGATAGATTTATTTATTTTTTCTTCAGAAATATGTTAAGTTGAAAGTAATTTCATCGGGCACTACTATGTTAAAGGCAATCGTATAAGCCACACAAAAATTTTGTTTGGAAATGACTTAAGGTCAACTGGTCTTGAGTCTAAACTCTTCATAATTATCATTATTAAACATAAGCACATCTTGAAGAAATGTGGTTTGTGGGAATATTATCTCCATTTAATTATTTATTTTACAATTTGCAATTTCCAAAACATTATAATAATCTTCCTACGACTCGAACACTTCAGGTTGCCCGCATCTGCTTTGAAAGTCACAAAATTCACTAAAGATTTTTCTCTACAGTGATTTTTTCTCTTCTGTGAGTATTTTTCTTTGTGATTTTATCATGAAAACCTTCAAAATATATTCTCATTTGGGCTTATTCATGCTAAGTGATAAAAGCTTTGGCCTTGCAACCACAGGTATCAGGTTCAATTTCCTCCAGGATTTTTCATTTTTATCCTGTATTATGTAGTCTGTCTATCCTTTATTTTCTATTGTATTTTGGTCAAAATTGTCTTATGTTACTAGATGTGATATTCGCTTTTACTTAAAAATATATAAATCTACTGATTTTTAGTTTATAAATGGCCTAATTCATGCATCTGCACTAGAATACCGCCTTAGGTTGTTCATAGTTTTTTATTTATAATAATTTAGCTGCAAAAATCTGAGTAATATACTTCAACGTCGAACAAAAAATCCGAATCTTTTAGCTGCACTATTGAAAATGTGTCTAATAATAATCTCATCACAAAAAGTATGGACAACCATTGGGTTGTTTTCTAATAAAGTCTTGTTTTAATAATTTACATCACAATAACAAAACAACTCGTAGAACACTCAATAGTCCAGAATTTCTGTCCATTGAAAAAATACTAACAGTATTAAATGTTAAACCTCAAAATATGTAAAAGTTTAGGTTTAAAAAGGAATTATAGCAATAAATCTTGAATATTTTAATAAACCAAAACAATATACATATTTGCATAATTTCGGAAGACTATTAAAGTTTTAAGAACATTTACATAGCAAAAGATACAAGAAGAAAAAGATACATATCAAAAATATTCGTTAATAATACTATTGAACCGATTTTCAGTTTTGTTTGATTTTATAAACATTTAAATTGATGTTATTTATATTATAAACATTTGGGAATTATTAGATATACTGTTTTCAACAAGCACTCGATACCATTTTGGCATAAAGTATGTAATCACATACTATATATATATATATATATATATATATATATATATATATATATATATATATATGATATTTGTTTCAATTATTGCCCCTGCCCGGAAAGGCTATGGGGTCTCAAAAATTATTATTCCGAAGAATAAATTACAATACTTAAATAATATATTTTTTAGCCAAAGTGAAATTGTGATCCAACCGATAAAGGCAAGTGATGCCGTACGCCGCGGCGCGAGGTTAAGTCAAATTCTTAGGAAGAAATGGTGAAAACTAATTTATCAACTTCTAGAAGGCCGGAAAATCAGATTTTCTTATTTCATGTTTTCTCGACGTTCTCGAAATGAAAGTAGCCACAGTAAAAGTTGTATGCATTTCAGGGCTGATTTGTATATAGATATAATAAGATAATATAAATGATGTCGAATGTACAGCTGCTTTAAATAAAATTTCCAGTCTCAATTCCCACCCTTTACTATATTTTTATAATCATTGACATCTCAAAAATTTCCCTCAACAAACTCCGAAAAGATTTATCAAAATGCGAGTAACCGTGTAGGAGGAGTTTGAATTCATATATCCGTACGGAAGAATTTTATATATTATATAAGATTAGTCTGTTGAGACGTTTAATTTAGATGTCAGATGCACGTGAGACATGGACGGAAGGAAAGACAATCAAATTATGAATATGAAATTCCTTCAGAATCTATCGTAAAGTACAAGAAAACCAATTTCAAAATAGTTGCAAATATATTGTTTCGACATAAATTTCAATATAGTAAACAGATTGCAAAATCTTTCTCAATGATTTTTTTTTTATCTCTAAGGATTCCTATAAGCTAAATTGAAAATATTTGAGAGCGATATCTAAGAAAAACTCTTCTTAGTTTAACAATTGAAAAGATTGAGATAATTTTTTAACCAAATTGCGTTTGTTTCAAATTTGAAGCAGAACAATTCATAGTTCATTCTGCATCCAATCCAATCACATATACTATATATTTACTAATGTATAGTACATAATAATTATAATTGATAACCATAATAATAATGATAATCATGATTAATTAAATCAATAATTAACATTATAAATTAAGCAATTAAAGCCTGCAGAAAACTTTGCTTCAAACTGATTATTAATATTTCTAATTTGAAACATAACACTTATAACCATATTTATTATATTCACTCTTCAATTTATTCACATGTCTAAGAAACTAATTATTGATTAGTCTAATCAATTATAATTATTATAATAACAAATATTATTATGTATCTTTAGAATATTTCGTTGTAAATATAATGATTTTTTAATATTATTTTATAATACTTAATAGTTGTAGAATTATTATATTGTGATTAATTATTTTTATTCTATTAGTGATCATCGGTACGAAAGTACAGTGTGAGATAAGGGCGGTGTGGTGGAAGGGGGCCCGCTAAGCATCGGGGGGGCCCCGCCGGTCCGCGCCGCGCTTTTGGGCGCCCCCGCCGTAGGCAAAACCAGCATTGCTGAGGTAAAAAACTATCTATATATAAAAATATTGTAAAAACTAACTATATATTATTAATACTTATATTTTAAACTAATTATATATTTTATTATATATTAATTATTAATTATATATTAATTATTTACTGGTTGTATTAAATTAAATTAGTTTTATTTCTCTTTAACTACTATCTCACTATTTGAGTTCAATATTTGAGTTAATTATTACTTGGGTTAATTATTAATTGAGTTAATTATTGCTGTATTATTAATCTGCAAGTTATCAAATTTTAAGATCTCATTATACGTGGTCTGTTCAAAAAGTACCCGGAATTACTAATAATTAAATTTCGCGGGTCTGGAGTGTCTGATTGTCAAAATTTTTTTTTTATTGTGTTGGTATACATGCCCCTAAAGTATGATGAAATTTTCAGCTATATTCACTGTTTACTTTGTCTGTGGTAGTCGCTAAGGTTCGACTTGTTTTTCTGAGCTCGGCGATTTTTACAATGGAAGAATTGAAAAGTCAAAGAATTTGTATTAAATTTTGCGTAAAAAATGAATAAAGTGTTGCAAAGTGCAAAAATTCACCAGATATGGCTCCGTGTGACTTTTTCCTATTCCCAAAGTTGAAGAGACCCATGAAAGGACGGCGGTTTTCCTCGATTGAAGAAAATCGCTGAGAGTGCTCAAGGACATATCAAAAAGTGAATATCAAGGGTGCTTCGAAAATTGGAAAAAACGCTGGCATAAGTGTATTATATCTGGGGGGGACTACTTTGAAGGAGACCACATTAATGTAGACGAATAAATAAATATTTTTTTGAAAAAACGAAAATTCCGGGTACTTTTTGAACAGACCACGTAGATTAAATTGATAAGAAAGAATGGTAGTCACGAACAGACAAAAACTAGGTCTATGTATTTGCTGTGCGATTAGGCGTTTTGCACATGAAACCTAACCTTCAAAAGGCACGAACGTCATAATGCAATATTAACTTTAGTTAGACTTAACGTATGTCTTATCAAAGAGATATCAGAAAGTTATATGATGAAATGATAATTTCACACTTATGATAAATTCGTTATTTGATATTTGAGCCATTTGGAGGTTGTTTTGACAGTACGTAACAGGACATTTCTATTTCATAGGAGAATTGGTCCTGAAACGTTAGATTTATAAAATCGTTTAGTTTTTTTCACTAATTGTAAGACCGAAACGTATGAATTTATTACATTGGTCTATTTTGACTTTGAGTAATTTTAAAACTACATATTAAACAAACAAATATCTGACTATGTTCAGATAAACTCCTAGCCAGTTCATCATTGTAGAAATTTGTTACCTGGCCCCTTTTACACTATAGGCGTGGTAAAACGGGATAACCAAGAGGCAAACAGATCTAATGTCTTATTTTTAATTTAAATGGATTTTACGAAATAATAGCTATAATATTCAACTAAGGCAAAATATAAAATTCCTGAGCACATTTTATACAAAGATATCACTGTATATAACCTTGATCTGGTATTCCGTTAGAAATATTCATCAGCAGAGTTGAAATAACTATTTATTTAATTTGTCTTAAAAAATCAATTTTTTAACTTAATTAGATTTTTTATTTACTATTTTCTTATTGTTTACATCTTCACCAGTGTAAAGATTTAGTTGAACCTTTTTACCCCACTCAGATATAAGCTTTTATAGAGGTTACATAAAAAAACTGTTCAATTTAACTTAAGAATGATAATACATCTCATAAAACTAAACAATAGCGCTCACAACCAAAAGTATTTTCTTGCGTTCTTAGTTTTTGTGGTAGTGATCAATGTGGTTTAGTTTAAGAGTCCTTACTATAATTTTTATGAATTTATTATTTATTCGTTTTATTACAGGTATACTCAGAAATTATATTAGGGTCCCATAAACTAAATAACAGTGCTCACAACCAAAAAAACTAACAATAAAAGAAAATACTTTTGTTATGTATTTTCGAGCTTTGCCTTTTATTTCCTGATAGCAAGTTCGTAATAATCAAAGAGATCGTATGCTGGTTATACATATTTTGACTTCTACTTTCAAATATTGTTATTAGAAAATTTCTGACTTTGCTAGTTTTTGAGATATCGGTTGTGGACCTTTTTACCCGCGGACCATTAAGCCCCATTCATATAAATGAATATTACATAAGTGGATTGATACCTAATTTAGGAGGAGGGGGAGTTGACAAAAAATCACAAAATATCACTTGGGTGTGGGAGGCGTATAGTAAAATATCATGTGATTTATTTTTTAAATGAATTTAAAAAAATTTAAATATTTTCAAAAAAAATTCAAAGATGTTACAATTTTTTCTCGTAATTTAAAAATACACGTAATGTTTGATGAGGGAGGGTGGTTTAATTTGGAATATCACCACCTATCACCAAGGGGGAGGAAGGGTCAAAAAACTCTTAAAAATCGATCACGTGATTAATGGACGCCCCTTATCTACCTTTAAGTATTATACTTTTGCGTTACAAATAATTATTATATTATTCTGGTATCGGTGGTGGACCTCTTTACCCACGGACCTTTAAACCCCACTCTACCCTATAATACAATTCTCTTCTCTTTTAGCAATTTTTCGAGCACCGCCACAGTGCCAAACACGTGCCCACTGTGACCCGGCGCACCCACAGATGCTGGGTGTCCCTGGACGGAAGGCCCATAGAACTGATAGTTAGTGATCTTCCGCCTCTGAACCGATTTCCAAGGGACACGCTCGACGAATGGCAGACGGTCCGCTGCGGAGTGTTGAGCACAGCTGACATCTACGTTTTAATATTTGATGTATCCGATGTACGAAGAACTTTCAACAAAGTCAGGGAATTGTATGCCCAGCTGATGGAATTGAGGAGGAGAGATGAAAGGGAATATGGGGTTTTGGTAGTCGGAAATAAGACGGATTTGCTGGTGAAACATGCCGAAGGAGAAGGACCTCAGGTAATTGATAAACAAACAAGTTGAAGGTGGCATTTAGCCTTAAGGCAAGTTGTATGAACTTCCTGATAGATGTAACAATTGACATAATCAACCGAAATTGAGATTTAGATATTTAGATAAAATTTTCAACTGTTTATTTCGAAAATAAATTTACCGCTTTCGATCGAATCTAAACATTGCGATTTCCAAGAGAATATTCTCAAACACATTTGAAAACATTTCTGTAATTATATTAATTATATTGCACAAACAGGTGTTTGTATGTCCTAAAATTGTAGCTTATTATTTTAAATTTTAATGGATTGATAAACAAATAATTGTATTAGTTTCTTTATAATAAACTCATAGGTCCGTCAATCTCTGAATCATATTAAAATATTAATGGACATCCTGATACAAAAAAGCGTGGAATCAATATCAATACATGTTCTTCTCTTTTTAAAAAACTGTTCCACTTATTATAATACACGTACTTAAAATGTTCAATTTTTTTATTTTATATTTTTGTAAAAACATATTTGTGTTTTAGTTAAAATTATATTTTATACGCGTATGTTCTCATTTATTTTATTCAAAATAATCAAGTTATCATCTTTATATTAAATATTTACATAAATACTACATGACCCGACGGACGTTGTCCTGTACTCACGTCTACAATTCCAAAATTCTAATTTTTTTAATATCCTATATTATACTTTTTAATATCCTATTTGATGTCCTGCCTTTGTGATTCATTCATGGTCTTAGCATAAGCATTATAATAAATTCAGAAAAAAATAATTTAATATCTGTGGTAAAAGAACAATATCACACTTGATTTTACCACATAACATAACTGCTTCATTAATTTTGTTTAAAATTTTCATAATTTCGTACCATATATTAGTTGCTTTTTGGCAATTATAATTCCTAAAGTACATTTTTCTCACTATTAATTGAATAAACATTAGGTTCAAACCTTAGGTGAATTAATTTGTAAAATCCAGTTCATATGAGCACTCTTCAATCTAAGATCAACTCGCTAAATATTCCATATCCAATGCCAAACAAATGAATTTTTGACACACGAAACAAAATTCTAAATCACTTTTCAATAGGGAGATATATTTTTTTGTATTGTTAAATAATTTAGTAAAGTAAACCAAAATGCGACATGCATAAGTTTAAAAAAATAATGTAGATGCAATTTTGATCTCATTGCGTTATTTATTAAACTGAATTATATAATTTCATCTGCCAAACATACTGTTGACTGCATCTTATATTATTTTAATTTCTAACACATCTCAGCTGCTTTTCGGCAATAATATTTTGGACATTAAATTTTTCTTGTATATTATGTTCTAATATTATCTAGGCTCATAATTTCAGCAAAATTCAAATTTGAAGTGAATTGACATTTCTAGCAGATGGCAGTACAAATGTTTTCAATGATAAGTGTTTTTTGTAATTTTTGCGATTCATTTCTACAATATCACTATAGTTTTATCGTTCATTAAATCTTAAAAATTTGCTTTGACAAACTCTAAAAAGAATTATGAAAATCCGAATAATCGTTTAGGAGAAGTATCAAATCATATACCCGTAAAGAAGAATTTTATATATAAGATTATGTAGTAATAAACCAAGGGTTTAACAATTGGTGGCACCTCTAAAGAATTGCGAAAACAATTAAAATTGAGATAATGTCAAAGAGGCTGTGTTTGCAATCTATTTATATATGTTCATCTATAGACAAGTTCTTTTAATAAATAATAATTCATATCCCTGTGTCTCTATATGTCGTTCTTCTCATCATATGGTTTTTCTCGTCATATTTATATGTTACTAGCTGACCCGGCAAACGTTGTTTTGCTAAATAAGGTATATTCTAAACCATTTCTAGAGAATATAAAATATTAAAACTTTAAGTGCATAAGGATGTGTTGTTTGAATGCTGTATACAATTAGGTATTATAAAAACAATAAACCCCATTAGATTGTCTATATTTTATCAATACAATCAAACTGCAAGTTTTATACACTTTCTCTAATACATCGTATAATCCATTCCGAGTCTTTTTTGGTCTTTCGGCTTATTAATTACGTTTCAAGTTTTTCAGATTCTTTTTGGATTCTGGATTTTGTGTATAAGTGTAAATAATACTACTAAGCTTATAAAAATTTTCAAATTTTTGCGGGGCAGAGATAAAAAATGAATTAAGTATTTCTTCTTTGACCTGCTTTTTGAAAAGTTTCAAGTTACATTCAAATTAAAGTGAATTTAATAAAAAGTATATATGTAGAGCAGGGCGAGACACAAAGGTCCAATTTGACTTTGAGCAAATATAAACTATATTGTGAAAACCATAATAATTATATCACAACAAATAAGACATATCAAACGAACAATTATCTGACTATGTTCAGTAAACTGACTTCTACTTCATCATTGTAGAAATGTGCTTTTTTGATATCTTCCAAAAATTTGTTATCTAGACCTATTTATCCTATATGCGGGGTAACATGTAACGGGCAGGTGGCAAAAAATTTAAAGCCTTATTATAATTTTAAAGGTATTTTACAAAATAATTACATTTTTAGCTAATGCTAAAATACTACCAACGGAAGAAAATACTTTTATTATGAATTTTCAAAGATCACCGTTTATCTTCCCCATTTCAAAGATTACCGTTGTCAAATCAAGGTTATAGCTGGTTATACATCTTTTTTCCTCTACTTTCAAATATTGTTGTTAAACAATGCTTAACTTTACTGATTTTTGACACATTGGTGCTGGACCTTTTTATCCCCGGACCGTTATATATTACTATCTATTCTTCGATAAATTCTGGGAAAATGTTATTCGACAAAATGTCCATTTGATCGATACCATATTTAGGTTCTGAATTTAAAGAACATAAATAAAAAATAATATAACCTAGAAAATGTTTTATAAATACCAAAGAGTGAGTGAGATCTTTCAGAGCACCGTGTTTGAGTAAAATATGCAAAAAGTGCATTTTCATATTAACATTTCAAAAAAGTTGATATTTTGAGTCTCTAGTAACACTTGCGGCCCGATTACTAACGTTTGTGTATATAAATGAGAGGGGTATAGTAAGATATCACGTGTATTTATTTTCTAACTATTTTTTTCAAAAAAGTTCAAACATTTAAAAAAATTTTACAGTTTTTTCACGTAACTAAAAATACACGTGATGTTTGGTGGGGGAGGAGGGGTAATTTTGAATATCACCAAATATCACCAAGGGGGAGGGGGAGTCGAAAAATCCTTAAAAACTCGCTCACGTGATTAATGGACGCCCCCTAATATTCACGTAGAACATCCTATTAAACGTAATTGAACATCATCTGTCAAAAGCGTTTGACATTTCACGTATTAGCCACCGTCCATTGTTTTATTTAAATTACGCTTCTACAAAACATTTCAAACTAAAAATGTAAAGTTTCTACGCGATTTTGAAATAATATCTCACCTTTCCGATCATCTCTGAATTGGCACGAATTTTTCAAGACGAACACTGGCCAAATCGGTTTAGCCGTTTTCGAGTTTTACTGAATCATTTGATCGAGAGCTGCATTTTTATATATAAGATAAACATTCTTAAAAATAAGTGTGAAATCAACAAATTGATCACTTAGACATAAGACAAGCTAGTGGTGCATGGCATCATGCCTGAAGGCAAATTGCTGTATAGTCCAGTCATTTAAGCTTAAATTAGGTAAAAATCTCGGAATTCAAGATACCCAGCTGTCAGTCTGTAAATACTTGTATATTGACACCCTAAAAGTTGTCCCAAAACTACATATGGTAGGGTGTCAATATCATATGTAGGTTTTGAGACAACTGTAGGGTGTCAATATACAAGTATTTAGAAACTTACTGCTGGGTATCTCGCATTCCGATGTGAACCTACTATAATGACTGTACTATAACTTCCCATACCGTAATATAAATATTTAAAAGCTTCAAATTTCTTATTAAAATTTTTGAAAATTAAATATTTTTTGAAAATCTTTAATTTTTTCAAAGCAATCGCGCTGCGTAGTCTTTTCAGAGAAGAAAGAAGCGCGTAAGCGCAGCGTCGCAGTTTAACGATTAAATATTATAAATCTTAGTACGGAACCCACGAAAATATTAACATGTTTACTAATTATTAAGATCTCAATAAAATATCTGATAATTTGATATGCTTATGTCTAACGACAATTTTTGACCGCCAAATGGCATTTTTTAAAACATTTTTTGTTCAATCTTCAAAAATTTAATTAATTCTTTATACCGTCAATGCAAGTGAAAAGTTTTTCAATCATTCCAATCAGTTGCTTCGTACTAAACCTGAATTGTCGTTTTTGCACTTTTTTCCCAGTATTTTTGAAAAGACTAGACACCTCTTTGCCAAAAATCTGACCAGCATCCGCCACATCAATAAGAATCGAAAGTTTTTTTGAATCATTCAAATCGGTTGATCCGTGCTCTCGAAATCGTGGGCAAATATTTATATCCAAATATACATACACACACACATACATTCACTTCAAGTTCAGAAGACTTGAAACATAAGGATATATAAAAATTTTCGTTTTCAATTTTTTTGCGATTACTATAACTTATACTACGAGAAATTATATAAGCAGGAGTATAATGATATATAACATGGCAAAAATTTTAAGAAAAGTTTTTTTAAAACTGACAATAAACTGTTCATATTTTAAAAAACATATGCATAATAACATATCCAACAACAAATAATATATCCTACAAATGTACTGTTATTGAAGATAAGGGATATATAGTAATATAGTAAAAAGAAATAAATACCTATTAGTATAATAATCTAGGAACTACTACTATCTTCAAATTTCTAAACTGCAACTGTAATTGCGTGCCGAGCAATTTCTTGCATATCTCATACTAGTATAAAATAATAATATTAAAACGTTCTAAATTCTTTGGTTTTCAATATTTAATAGTTTCTAGATAACATTTCAAATTCAGCTAATTCATAATGTTGAAATATATTCACTTAGTTTGATAGCCCTCTAAAGATACTAAACATATAAAAGCAGAGCATTGTATTTATAATTTATTGTAGGTAATCAAATATATTAATTGAAATCATCTTTGAATTTATATTTTTTATTTTTTTTTATAATATATGCTGAAGTAAATAAAACCATCATTAAATATGGTTGATTATAATAGCCAAATAAAATCGAAAAAATGGCAACAAGCACTAACAGCTTAGCTATAGAAATCGGCACATAGAGAAATGTTATATTCCTGGTTAATTTTTTATAATAAAAAACTATCAAAATTATATGCCGAAACCAGGGATCGAACCAGGGACCTTTAGATCTTCAGTCTAACGCTCTCCCAACTGAGCTATTTCGGCTGTTGGGATGACACCCAAGTGAATCGTTGTCGCTGGGTCTGAGTCTTATCTTGTCTGAAATTCCATGAGCTTTATCGTTAAATGTTCGAAAGATATTTGTTGAGAACATTGATTTCTAACCGATTTTTGTTTTTCATAATTAAATGCTAAACGTTATTTGCATTGATTTATAAAATAATCTTCTTATATATAAAAATGAATCGCAAAATGTGTTGGCAAGCGCATAACTCAACAACGCCTGGACCAATTTGGCCAATTCGTTTTTTAAAATGTTCGTTGAAGTCCAAGGACGGTTCTTACGCCGAAAAAAAATCGAATAATTGCCGGGAAACCCCTAAAAACAGCCCTTTTCTTTTTCTCATACAAACGTTTTCTAACTAAAACGTAGAATCAATTTGAGCTTTATACCTATTATATAAAGTTCATACTAAATTACAAGCACTCACTGTATACTCCTCCTAAAAGATTATTCGGATTTTGATAAATCTTTCTGAAGTTTGTTCTGAAGGAAATTTTCTAGGATGTATGTGATTATAAAGTACTAGGATGTAAGTGCAATATTGTAGAAACAAATGGAAAAAATTGCAAAAAATGACATGTCATTGTTTGCATTGACAACAAATGAAAACTACCATCCGCCAAAAATTTCAATTTACTTATGAACCTAGATAATATTAGAATATGTATAATAAATTTATGATTATTAATAAGAAAAATGAAATGTCTACATTATTATTGCCAAAAAGCAGCTGAGATGTGCCAGAAATTAAAATAATATAAAATACAGTATATGATGGCAGATTGATACACATATGGACAGGATATGACAATTTAATTCACTTAAAATATGAAATTAAGTATTAATCAGGACCGTTCCTGATTTTCTGAAGGAAATCAAAGGTAATGCAATGCATGCAAAAAATACGAGCGCACGCCTTAGGGGGCGCCAACGCAAGATTCGGATATTAAATTTTTAATATATAATTTCTTTGCGTCTTTTACTAATCTTTCCACAATATTTTTAAAATTCGTGGAAATTTGACTTTATAACAACATATGGGAAGTAAAGATGAATACATATATACAATTTGAACCTTAAGATATCGATTAGGAGAAGTTTTAGATGCAATTTTGGATATCTTAAATAATAAAAAATTAAATTAATTTATTCCAACATGAAGTACCAGTGTTATGTTATGGTTATGGTTATGTTATATCGTTTAAAAGACTTCAATTTCCAATATAGTGTGGGAATTGAGACTCATCATTTTATTTAAAGCAGTTCTCCATTTAACATCGCTCATATTATAAATGTACATGCATTTTGGCGTGAAGAGTAATTTAAAAAACAATAATTATTATTTTTAGGTAAACGGTAAATATTAGTATATTATATTAAAAAAATTAAAACAGACATGAGTACAGGACAACGTCCAACGGATCATCTAGTAATGAAAAAAATTGCTAAAATTATTTCTAAATCAGTATTTTTCTTTCCTTTTAGGAGTTACGCGATGCGGTGACCCTAATTAGGAAAAACTGGAAAATTGCCTATGTGGAAACTTCGGCCCGTTACAATTACCACATCGCCCAGCTTTTCCGCCTGATAGCCGGCGGTCCAGGGCCCCTGCAGAGAGGCGGGTCTGCGGGGGCCGACGGCCGTCAAGGGGGCACACTACGAAGGGACAGGGACGGCAAATGCATCATATTATAGGGAATAATAAAGGTAATATAAATATTGAAACAGAAAAGTATTTGTGAAATGATTATGGGAATAAAAAGTAATATGTGAAGTGATTAATAATAAAAATCTATTATGATTCGAATTAGAAATTTTTGGCATTGGTTGTTTAAAAAGAAAGGTACAAGAATAAGCTCAAAGGGTCATTAAAAATCAAGGAAGATATTTATAATTATGAAAACAATGTGATATAAATGCAAATAAATTACAATTGTTAAACTAATTATTAGCACTGGAACAAGATTAATAATAACAACAATTCAAATAATCTTGTTTGTAAAAAGAGTATCATTACTATTTGTTTTTCGATCCCAATCAAAGAAATCGATTAAAGATGCTTTTTGTTATGGCAGAAATTGTTAAAATAAAATTGTTACAGTTATATATAAAATATTACGGGTGCCAATAATAAAAAGTTCAAAAATAATTGTGCAACAGATGACTTTTTAATTAGTATAAATTATACTAGAAATAATTATGCCAAATTATCTTTATAAAGAAATTATCAGACATTAAAAGAAGATTTAAGAGACACTGCCAAGAAGCGTACGAAATCTAAAATATACGATGGTGAAAGTTTTGAAGTCTGGAGGAAGAGAATAATAAAATATAATATATTATTTTTTAAATTGTTGCTTTCACAAACTATCATTTTAATTTGTAAGTCCATAAGTTATTTGAGGATATATATTTGAGTTATAGAAATTTTCTTATAATTTGTTGCAACCACAATATTTTTTCTATAAGAAATATGGAAATCAAATAAATGTTTAAAAATCACCTAACGAAAGTGAAGCTTCATAAGAGCAGAACTACTGCATTATAAATTCAAATAATCCATAGATCTACAATGTATAATATATTGATTACTTGTGCATAAAAAGCAATGAACAAGTATTTTCAAAAATTAAAAAAAAAATTAAGTTTGAGAAGAGTATTTGTTTCAATAAATTATCTTAGTTTCACAAGAAGAACCTCAAATCTACTTTTTTGAGATTTTGATGAAACTTCGCATGATGATAGAGTGGACAGTCAAATCGAACACCTTAAAATATTATAGGCTTTTGAGAAGCGATTTAATTATAAGAATTAATTAAAGTTTTGAAAAATAGACTTCAGTCAGTTTATGTGCTTACTTTTTACGATCAGATAACTGATCGAGTTTAATTTTGGTTGTTTATACGATATAAATTTAATAAAATTAAATTTATTTTTTATATTTTTTTAATTATTTCGTTCGGAAGATACGGGGCAAAAAGTGCCGATAATGGTAATTCAATTTTTAAAAGAATCGAGTGTCCGATTTGAATGATTTAAAAAACATTTTCTTTGATAAAATGAAGAACTAATGCAATTTTTGGGAAGGAAGGTGTAGCGGTTTCGGAGATCCAATAATAAAAGTGAAAAAAATGCCATTTGGCGGACAAAAATGATCATTAGACATATGCACATCAAATTTCTAGACACTTATTTTCTAGATTTTTTAATAATAGGAACGAATTTTATTTACTTTTCTATGATTATCCGTTTAACTGCGTCGCAGCGTCCACGCGCTTCAATAATTCGTTTCTACACAGCTAACGTATCGCGATTCAAAGTTCTAAAAATTTTCTAAGTATAAAAAAAATCAAATTTTTCAAAAAGGTCTTTTTTTTTAAATTTTAAATATCTCAAAAATCGATCTTTTTTATTTTAATTTTTGGTACGGTATGTTCCAGCAATTTGCATTAAGGCACGATGCGATGCACCACTAGTTTTCATAATTAAATCACTTCTCATAGGCCTATAATATTTTAAGGTGTTTGGTTTGACTATCGAATCTATCACCATGCAAAGTCTCATCAAAATCCCAGAGGACTAAACATGAGGTTCTTCCTTGTTAGTCATTATTTTTGTTTCCACAAGTTATGTGGGTCTCAGTCATTATTTTGAATACATTTTTGGATTATGCATATGGTACTAATTCTAAAAAATTTTAAAGCAAAAAATACAGTATTACTATATTAATATTAATCTTATTTGTATGTAAAGATTTTATGTATTTCTTCACAAGTATATCATCAATTATTTTACACTACATAACTCCTACAATTTATTTGACTCTGCCTAAGAAGTTTCACTTCAAAAATAACAAAAGTAACTCTAATATATTCAGCTTTTTTGTAGTACATCATTTTAAGGAAAAATTTTGACTAGATTTTAGTTGTTGAGTTAATAATGCTTTCCATTTTATAATGCATACAAGATTAATTCAATTGTTTGATTATATTGAAGCCAAAATGTTTTATATATGTTCCAATTTTTTTTTTAAATATTAGCAGGAATGGAATACATAAAATATATAAAGGAACACGATTGAAAAATTTAATTTATTCATTTATAACTCAATACCATGATTTTGAATTTCAATCCATTACAATCCCTGAGTTAAGTTTATTAAAATCTGCAAAACTAAACAGCAGATATAAAATTAATTCCGATTGTTGTAAAAAAATATTTTAACCTTGTATAAGAACATATATGAAACCACGCATAGATAATAAAATCGAATAAAATAGCATACATGTATATATTATTGCATGTAAATATTAAATGATAATTAAAATATTATGCTGCCAATATTGATAAAAAATGGCATAGTTCAACATTTAAAAATCAATAATAATTTCAACGAAATCGTAGTCGAGCGTTCAAAATAATTAAATGACATAAGGAATATCAGTTTAATTAAATAAATAATAAACAATGTTCAGATGCACAAATAAAAATCACAAATATTCAAAATACAATATACCCGTATAGATTAATAGTGACTTATAGTAATTACTTAAGTAACCAATTATAGTGTACAATATTAATAAGTATTATGTAATAATGTCGGCACTGAACACATTCAGCAATATAAAAAAATATTTATTTAATTAATTGACACAAATTATTTTTATCATATAAACTATTGGGATTATTCAACAATCCAAACATTTGTTATTTCAAAATTACTAATCTACAATAAATTAATTAATCTTTGAACTGTGCCAAATCTCTTGAAAATAGATAACTTATTTGCGCTTTTCTTTTCAAATATTTTTGGTGCATTCCGATCATTTGGTTTACCATTTTCGATCATCATTAATTATATATTAATTAAAATATTAATAAATACTTTTTAACATTTATTATTTTTCAACTTAGACGAATTGGCTGCAATTTTGATTTTTTTCATGCTATTAAAGATTTAACCAAAATTTTCCGAAAATAATAGTAAGGTAGGGCGAGGCACAAAGGTCCAATTTGACATTGAGCAATTATATTGTGAAGACCAAACCAATTACATCACAAAGCCGGGGCAGCGGCATTCGAGTGGAAAGGGTTAAACAAACAACTATCTGGCTATTCAGTAAAACTTCCATCTTCCAGTAGAAATGTTTTTTTTGCTGTTTTTCAAAAATTAGTCCCTTGGTCCTTTTTACCCCATAGGGTAAAATGGGATAGCCAAGGGGCAAACAGATCTGATGTCTTATTTTTAATTTTAAAGAGAATTTACGAAATAATGCCTAGATTATTTAACCAATGCAGAATATAAATATGATGGGTACATTTTTTGCACAAATAACACTATATATATAACCTTGATCTAGTATTTTGTCAGAAATATTCATCAGCAGAGTTTGAATAACTATTTATTAAATTTATATTTTGTAAATTTGCTTTTTTTAACTTAATTTACTTTTTCGTTTACTATTTTTTATTGATTTACACCTATGCCAAGGTAAAGGTTCAGTTGGTCCCTTTTACCTCACGTGCAAGCTTTTTATAAAAGTTATATAAAAAAACTGTTGCATCCGATTTAAAATTAATAATGCAGCGTATAGCACAATTAAATAACGTATACTTAAAAATTGTGTTAAGGTCTCGTAAACTAAACAACAGTGCTCACAACGAAAGAAAATACATCTGTTATTTACCAACATTGGCGTTCCTCTCCCGATAGCAACGTCTTAAGAATCAATATAGTGGCTGGTTATACACCCTTTTCCCTCTACTTTCAAATATTGTTGCTAAATTCCTAACTTCACTGGTTTTTGAAATCAGTGATGGACCTTTTAGCCGGAGGACCTATAAGCCCCGCTCTACCCTATATAAAATTTATAATCGGTACATTGCCTAAAATCATCACTGCTTTACAAAGATTTTTAGACTCTTAGAATCAAATAATTTAATTTTGAAAACTATGCTCGGAAATATTTTTCAAGCAAAATCGCATATTAGTAGATTCGAAAAATAGTTAGTGCATACAAACTGTTAGGCATATTTTATTGTTGGTTTAAATTGGGCGTATAATAAAATTGAAAATTAATATTTTAGTGGTTCCATTACCAGGCGCCCAATTTAAATTAAATTCACTAAAATAGTTAGGTAGTTATTGGCAGTAGAGTTCGATTACAAAAAATTAGATTATTAGATTTCAAGTAAAATAGAATAAAAACGAACGACCTGGTTTAAGTTTATTCTGAAGCAATGAATGGAAAAGTTGAAATTTATATTAAATTCATCGCATTACATAAAATAAATGTATATTTATGAGATAAATAAAAAAATCCTTAATATGAAAGGACATATGAATTTAGTTTTTAGTATGCGAATATGTTCAAGTTCTTCACATTGAGACAAGTGCATAACAATAAACAATAATAAAACATTTATAACCATATATTTATATACATATACTTTATATGTAAATATATATATATATATATATATATATATATATATATATATATGTATTCTGAGTGGTTAGATATTAATTTAGAAATATGAACGCACTCTTTGCACTAATTTATTAGATGATATTAATTTTACAAACGTTTCGAGACTAGGTTCGTCTCATCATCAGTCTATTATAATTTAAAATCTAAAATATGAAAATCTAAAATAGCACTATGTGTTAACAATTCCAACTTGTTCCTCTTACTAATGCGCGTGCCATACGAATTGTCGGCGACTGAAACCTCTGTTCAAGGTCAACTTGATGAGTCATGAAATATCAAATAGGAATGATGATGAATAAGAATTCAACGGGGCCCTATTCCTTTTGATAATGAATAGCAATTCAACTGGGCCATATTCCTTCTCATTCCTGTTTGATATTTCATGACTCACCAAGTTGGCCTTGTACAGAGGTTTTAGTCGCCGACAATTTGTACGGCAGATGCATTAGTTATTAGTAAGTAAAAATTTGGAACTTTTAACGCATAGTGTTATTATAGATTTTTATATTTTAGATTCTAAAAAAATATAATACATTGATGATGAGACAAACCTAGTCTCGAAACGTTTGTAAAATTAATATCATCTAATAAATTAGTGCAAAAAATAGTGCGTTTGTTCATATTTCTAAATTAATATATATATATATATATATATATATATATATATATATATATATCATTATATACATATATTAAATATGTCTAAATAAATGGTTTTTCCTAGAGGATCGTTAACAGTTTAGAATTAAGGTATAATTGTTCAAACGAGTGAGAATATCACAAATATAAAAATTGTGTTCGAATATCTATAAGCTAATTGATAAATATAATAGGTTGATAATTTGTTAATGAGAAAAAGGTATGAACTAATGCATAATTAAATATGCTTTCGATGATTTCTGTGCCAAATTATTTTAATATATAAAAAAGTTACGTTTAAATAAATATTTATTTATATTTAAATGGATTTATTCCAAAACGGCATATGTATAAATGCATATATTTATATCAATAATTTGAAAGAGGGTGCCATGTGTAATATCGCCTTAATAAGGTGATAAATTGAATGTTAGTTGTATGTATTATTAAAAGCAATAAAGATTTTATTAATTTACAAATTTGCATTATTAAATGACTTAAATAATAAACATTATGTAATGGTTATGGATATAATTAAATTCGCATTATTTAAACATTTTAGGTGAAGCACCCCCATCAGATTGTATGCTTGATGGAATCTGGTTCGAATCATATACATTTTTTTTTTAAGATTTTTTGTTTTTGAATATATTTAGAACACCGATTCGAAAATTAACATTTCACTAAAATTTGTTTATTATTACATAAATAATAGTAGTATTTTATTAACTTCCCGTAGGGTAAGTTATAGTAATCGCAAAAAAAATCGAAAATAAAAATTCTTATATATCTTTACGTTTCAGAGGTTTCTCAATATTTTGGCATACCTTCGAAAAAATGGATGTATGTGTGCGTGTGTGTATGTGTGTGCGGATACAAATTTGCGTCGACGATTTCGGGAACACGGATCAACCGATTTGGATAATTCAAAAAAACATTCGATTTCTATTGATAATGGGATGTGCTGATTAGTTTTTGGCGAAAGCAGGTCCAGTCGTTTCGAAGATATGGGACAAAAAGTGTCAAAAATGGCAATTCAGTTTTTGAGAGAACGGAGTACAAGATTTTAATAATCCAAAAAACGTTATATTTATATTATCGAAATAAAGAACTGACTGGATTTTTAAGAAGGCAGCTCTAGCGTTTTCGGAGATCGAATAAAAAAAGTGAAAAAAAGGGCTATTTGGCGGTGAATCATGATCATTGGACATATGTACATCAAAATATCAGATATTTTATAGAGATTTTAATAATAAATATAAATTCTGTTTACATTTTTATGGGTTGCGTGCCAATGTTTGTCCTTTATACTGTTACGCAGCGCTTACGCGCTTCAATAATTTCGCAGTTCACGCAGCGAGATTGCTTTGAAAAATAAAAATTCAAATTTTACAAAATATTTCATAATATAAAAGAAAATTCAAAATTTATAAAAAGTATGTTTTTTCAAAAGTTTCAAAATTCTCAAAAATCTTTTTTTTTTATCTGTTTCAAAAAAATCTCATTTTTAGTACGAGAAATTCCAGCAATTTGCCTTAAAGTACAAAGCCATGCACCACTAGTTTGAAAAATGAAAATTTTTGCATATCTTTACGTTCCAAAGGTTTCTGGACATTTTGGCATACTTTAGAAAAAATGGATGTGAATGGATTTGAATTATTCAAAAAACATTTGATTCTATTGATTAGAAGACTTGTTCATTAGTTTTTGGTAAAGACAGGTCCAGCCGTTTCGAAGATACGGGGCAAAAAGTGCCAAAAACGATAATTCAGTTTTTGAGAGAACGGAGCGTCCGATTCGAATAATTCAAAAAACATTTTACTTGTATTAACAAGATAAAGAACTGATCGAATTTTTATGGAGGCAGGTCAAGCGGTTTAGGAGATCTAGTAAAAAAGTAAAAAAAAAATGCCATTTGGTGGTCAAAAATGATCATTAGACATATGCACATCAAATTATCAGATATTTGATAAAATTAAAAGAAAAATGAGTACTCGTTTTGTAGGGTTCCGTACCAAGATTGTTAATGTTTAAAGTTTACTTATACAGTTCAAGCAAATTTCAAAATTATCAGAGAAAAGAACCTCAAAATTTTCAAAAATATACATAGTTTTATACTTCAAATATGAATTTTAAATTTACAATTCTGTTTGAAAATGTATATATTTCAAATGCGTTATTCTAATCGTAAGAAATATATCCCCAGATGGATTTATTCGGCACCTCTTGGTAATATAATCTTTCTCAAGAGTTTTGAGCGATAAGATCGTCACTGTATACTTTATTAACAATAAAATACAATAGATTATAAATATTTATTTGAAAATGTTTGAAACATTTGTTAATAATAATTGATCAATATTTATTGATTACTGATATTTTTTCCTTGAATATTTAATTCTGGTACGGGAAGTTCCAGCAATTTTCCTTAAGTCCCAATGCCATGCACCACTAGTTTTAAATTATACTGTGAAATCATAATTTTGAATTCAATTGGCAAAAAATCAGAATTTTAAATTTTGAATTCAATTGGCAGTTAATATAGGAAAATCAACGCTGCCACCTGCATCAACTGTTAATAACTTCACACGACCTTCAAACAACCTTTTGACATTTGTTAACAAGTACCACGCGTCTTCAGCTCTCATTCAGTGCCTGCTTTCCGTTGTGGTAAGTCGCTTTAATAATTAATATTATTTATAACATTAATAAATGTGCATGCATTTTAGAATAAGATAGTTGTAAAATTAAATCGGCTTCATATTGGAGTTATGTGCGAACGATATTGTGCAAAATTTAAGGTTATGAACGCGTTTGCAACGTTTCTGTGTCTTATTACCAATATTTTTCAATTAATCGTGTAATCCCTTTTTTTTTTAATAATTCTACTATTTTTTATTTCATCGATTGTATGTAATAGCTAGTAGTATAAAAAATCATCCATTGTACAGTTGTGTAAATAAAACTTATCTCCCTCAGCATAAAACCATTTTTTTCATGTATGAGTTCACGATTTTGTGTGTAGATAATTAAAACATTTACAAGGATGACATGATAATTCGGATTTTATGTTTAAAATGTTGAAATACTTCCCGATTCTGAGTACCACGTGTAAAAAATTGAAACCTTAATTATTAATTCTAACAGTGCTTATATTTTTTATATATTTACTATTCCATTATTTTTCTTTAGCATTTTTTAAAAATTATATTTCTACAAATATTGTGGTTTATTATGAGTGGTACATAATCTTGTAACACTCACATAATGTTCTCTAAAATTATTAAATATTCTGTTACAATTATTAAAGGACACTTTTAATAATTTTAGAGAACGTTATATGAGTGTTACAAGATTATGTACAACTCATAACAAACTACTATATTTGTAGAAATATATTCTTTAAAAATTGCGAAAAAATATTGGAATTTTGTAAGTATATAAAAATATAAGCGCTGTTACAATTAATTATTAAAACTTAATTTTTTTTTACACTTGGTACGCAGAATCGGGAGGTATTTCAACATTTTTGAACAAAAAATCCGAATTATCATGTCATCCTTTAATAATTTGTAATAACATTCTCTTACAATTCACATTAAATTATTTCACTAACGAAAAAGAAAATCTTTTCGTTTCAAAGGTTTCTGAACACTTTGGCATACCTTAGAAAAAATGGATGTATGTGTATGTGTGTGAGCGTGTGCGGATACAAATTTCCCTCAACGTTTCGGTAACACCGATCAACCGATTTGATTAATTCAAAAAGCATTCGATTCGTATTGATAAGGAGACGTGCTGATTATTTTTTCGCGAAGGCAGGTCTAGCCGTTCCGAAGATCCGGGCCAAAAAGTGCCAAAAACGGTAGCTCAGGTTTTAAGAGAACGGAGCGTCCGATTTTAATAAATCAAAAAACATTCTACTTGTATAGACAAGATAAAGATGTGATTAAATTTTTGGGAAGGCAGGTCCAGCGGTTATGGACTTTCAATGAAAATTAGTTAAAAAATGTCATTTGGCGGTCAAAAATGTTTATTGGACATATGTACATCAAATTATCAGATATTTTGTAGAGATTTTAGTAATGTGTACACATTTTGTGTAAATTTTTTGGATTTCGTACTAAGATTTTTATTTTTCGGTGCGAGAAGTTCCAGCAATTTGCCTTAATGCACGACGATCCACTAGTTACTTGCTTTTTTAGAACAATATAATAAGCAATTGCTTTGTAACTATAATATATAATTACAAAATAGTTTATACCATAATTGCTAACATAAACCATTTACAAAATTATATCAATTCATAAATTGAAAATAAAACAATTTGTATTGACCTATTGATTCATATTTATCAGATTTGCTGAAACACGATTGTATTATTAAAATCTTGAACATTGACCTTATAATTATATAGTTATTATATTGCACCTTTTATATTATAATCTATAAAACATTTTTTTCATCGGTTTTGGTCATTGTTTTACTTATGCTTGATTATTTTCTTTATTATTTTCTTTAGTAATTTCAACAAATTATAACAATAATAGATATCAGATAATCATTCAGATAATTATATAACCCAATTATTATTTCAGAACCTCATGTTACAATTATAATTGAGTTAAATTTCTTTGAATTAGCTTTTATTAGTTAGCTTAATTGTGATCATTTGAATTGTTTTTCTTTAGTATTCCCATTGATTTTAGAAAAGTTGCTTAAAATAAATTTGTTTTCATAAAGAAAAACCTATAATTCTATAGTTATTATATTGCACTCATATATTATGATTGCACTTATATATTATAATTTATAAAAATGTCAATTTTCTCATCAATTAATTTTGATCATTGTTTTACTTATGCTTGATTATTTGCTTCAGTAATTTCAAAGAAGTCTAACAATTTTTATAAAACAAAAATAGTATAATTGTTTCAGAACCTCATATTACAATTATATTCAACTTAATTTCGTATAGTTATTAGTTTTCAATTATTTAGCTTAATTGTGATGAAGTGTGGTGAAAAACAATTCAGTCTTTTAGTATTTTCACAAATTTTAGAAATGTTGCTTAAAACAAATTTGTTTTCATAAAAAAAGATCATAAAATTTACAATTACTCGAATATGTCCGAACGTTTGTTCCCAAGTTGTTAGTTAAAAGCATTTATTTATAAAAACTAAGAAAAGTTAATATGTAATTCAACCATAAAATTAAAATATTTAGTTACTTTCATTTATTAAAATTAAACCCTGTGTAAACATCATTTCTCTAATTATTGCTTTGCTTAATTTATTTGATTTCTTATAAAATTATATTTGTTCGAAAATTTGAACACAAATAAGTCTCTTATTTGATCTTTTCAGTCGAATTCGTCATAGTCCATAAAATTGAAAATAAACAATCATGTTTTACGTAAGGTCAATGTTCAAGATTATAACAATACATACAATCGTGTTTAAGCAAATCTGATAAATATAAATCAATCAACACAAATCGATTTATTTTCAACTTACATGATATGCAATATTTTTGTAATCACCTTATACTTACAATTTTTATATTAACTATGCTGTAATTATTTTAATTAACACATCAATGGTATATATCACAAATCTCTTCGACAGAAACTTGGTATTCAAATATTCAAATAATTTGTTATATTAATATAATTTCACTAGGATCTTCACATATTTATAAAAATATTTAGATAAAAATAATAGGCACAAAAAGAACTCAGTTCAAAATCCAAACGACTTAGTTAATTAATTTTCATTAACTTCCATTAAATTAACTTTTATTAATATTTTTAATTTTATTTCCAAAATTTGCAAACGGATTTTGTGGTTAATCTCAATACTTCTTTCAGGAGAAAGTAAGACGACTTGTTTTAAAAATGTGAATAGACCTAAAATATCTCTGCATTAATATTATTTTAAATTTTTAAACTCCAAAATTTGCATTCGGATCTTATGAAAATGAACTTTCCATTAAGAATTTTTTTTTCATATATATTTGCACCTATTACATAATAAAATATCAGAAAGTGATGACAAAAAACGGCCATGTAAATGTAATATAAAGTAAATAATGTGCAATTTACTGCGAATATTATTATGCCTAACTTTTTATTTTCAATAATCTCTTTACCTTCTCATTATATGATAATTCTTTTGAATTGAAAACGACAAAATCTAAGACAATCTCCAGCATAAAATTTATAATTATTTTTCATAATTATGACCATGTCTAATTGTCAGAAATATCAAATATATTTTCAATTGTTTAAAAGTTCTTCACGCTATATATCTTGCACTACAATTCTAATTACAACATTGTACAATTAGACTTGATTCTAAACAATTTCAATAAAAATTTTATATATTACATTTTCAGTATTATATTATGCAATATATATGCAAAATATTTTATAGAACAGTTATATAAATAAATGCGAAACTCAATCTTCCAGCACTCCAAGTGTTTTTTAAGGTTTCAAATATCAAGTTGTGCATTTATCGTTATCAGCAAAAGTATTTGCAAATGTGTACGTTGAATAATCATATTACTTACATTAATAAGACCAGAATAAATATAAAATCATTCCAAAAGATCTAATGGATATCATTGTGATAAAAAAAATAATTATATTCAAGCTAATAATTTCACTTCCTAATTAGTGCAAAGGATATTTTGCACGATACTTGAAGTTTTACTTTAAACTATACTTTTGATATTATAAACGCTCTTTCCTTTAGTTAATATTTAGATAATATATATATATATACATATATATATATATATATATATATATATATTTATTTATTTATATATTATTTTCATATCTCAATATAGCTCAGATTATTTTTTACTAAAAACGATTTTAAATAATCTTGTGAAGCAGGAGATTATAATTTATAATTAGGTATTAAAAAAAGTTTATATTTCCTACCGTGCAATGTATTGAACAAATATTATTGTTAAACATTTTTCATGTTTTTATATTAAGGTGTCTAAAATTTCGTTCCAAAAATTAGGGGATATTAATAAGGGATCTGATATCAAGTAATTAATAAACTGGTTTATTGGTCATTTACTAAGTTATTAGCAACATACATTTTGTTTTATTTTAAGGACTACTAATAGTTGTAATCAAAAATAATGTCAAATTTGTCATTTATATTCGCAATAAATTTTGAACTTTAAGTTCATATTAATTTTGTCATCAAAATTAAAAAAGTCCAAAAATCCTGAACCAATGTAAAGTTTATGCAACACCTATATTTTTAATATTCTTATATTAATTCAAAGTCTGATTATTAAATTATATCAGTTGAGATTTTATGAAATTGTTAAAAAAAAGTTGTGGGGCGCAACCTCTTTTTAAGAAAGGTGGGTGGGCGCGGTACGGAAACAGTTGGAAACCACTGCCTTAAGACACAATGCCACTTACTCCTAGTTTACATGATATTGATCTGTATAAATGGCTTTGTATATTCGTTACATCCATATCCATACATTTAAAAAAAAAGTTTATAATTCATTTTATTATGCAAAACAGCTTATTAGTTATTGTTTTCAAATATCAAGTTCACGATTATTGCTTCGATATTAAAATGTTACCTTATCTACACTTTATATAATTCTTCCAATAAACAATTATTACTATCAATATTTTTTTCCATATATGCAACTTTCACCATGCATATTGACCTTGGTGACAAAATCAGACTCTCATAGTAACATTTTGAATACTTGTTAAAAACAACAAAAATTATTCTGATACTGGACATTATCAAAATTTCGTAATTTCAATTTTGTCATATTTTGCACGGAGGTGTGGCAATGTTATCTAATTTTTATATTGCATCATAATTATATAGTTCATAATTAACGATGGCCTCCATACAAAAATAAATGGAGTCGTTATAATCTTTATCTTCAAAAAAAAGATGTGGAAGAAAATGATAAATATTTGCACAATTTTTGGAATCTTGATTTTTAAATATTTAACTTGCTATTGACTAAAATTCTAAACAAGTTGTGGAAATTAATTATATGCTGAACTTTAGAGTAATAACTTCCTAATATCAATTTCATTTACTAGAAACATTGGAATAATAAGAAGCTATAAATTAATGATCAATTTAAAAATTAAATGATCAAATAAATTTTACTTATATTTTAAGGGAAATGCACTTCCCATAGAATATAATTTTTTTTAATTTTTTTGATAATTTACTTTTTAATTGATAATTTATTTATAGTTGATATAATTTATAATTATAAATATTTAATTATAATTAATTTATAATTTATAATCAATAATTTATTTCTTGATTTGGAAGTATTTAGATGCTGAACATCCAGCGATTAATTCATATCATGATATTAAAATGAAATAACTCGATTCAATAAAAAAAATTGAATGGTCTAATAGTGTATTCAGAAACTTGTATTTTGTGGGAAATATTTCTCGATTCAAAAATATTTAGCTTATTATTTTCAGTTATCATATATTGTAGAAATGAATTTAAAACGCTAAACCCCTAAATTTCTAAAAGTAAACCCCTAATGTCGATGATATTGATTCCTATATCATAATTTTATAACTTAATATAGGAATAAAACTCTACTCTATATAAAATATATCTTATGTGAAAATATTTGGCTTACTATTGTTTTTATTCATGATTAAATTACTGTAATGAATTTAGATACTCTGAATTATCTAAGACTAACTTTCTAATGTCTATGGCATTGCTTGTGTATCCCCATTTTAATATACGGTTAACAATTTATTAATTATTATTGATAAATCAAAATTTAAATGATCAAAAAATTGATACTTGCATTTTGTGGAAAATACTAATTTCTTTATATTCTTTAGATTTAAAAATACTTCACTTAATTTTCCAGTAATTCATGATCACATTGTAGGAATGAATTTAAAATTCTAAATTTTCTAAATCTTCTAAATTTTAAGCTCGGTGATATTGATTTAGGTTTTAAGTCACCACTAAAATACCAAATAAAATATTAGATTTCCATCTATTTAATCAGAAACTTTTTTTTCTATAAGCTAAAACGATTTCTTTAATGTTATATTAGAGTGGGATTTGGATTTGGATAAGTGTCTTGTGAAAACTATTCATGAAAGCAGATTTGTTTTCTAACAATTATTTTTATTTCCAGACATTCCCTTAGTCAAACATCATCATGACCACTTACTTCAACTATCCCTCCAAGGAGCTCCAAGATGAACTCAGACAAGTTGCTCAAGCCATCGTAGCTCCTGGCAAAGGAATTTTGGCAGCCGATGAATCCACAGGAACTATGGGCAAACGATTGGCTGTAAGTGAAAACTAGAATTAAAATTGAATACAAATATTAACTACTAATTTGTTTAGTTAAGATTAAAAAATATTTTCCTAATGTTATCCTGTTTTTGAATATTTATACAATAAATTCATTTTTTATCATAGCAAATTTTTTATAGTAATGTATAAATACAAGTCTCCAAAACTGTGACAAAATTGTCTCTATTGGAAGTTCATAAACTAAAATTGCTCTAATATCATTTATATTTTGCATAGTGCCTAATTTTTCTAAGTATATATAATTTTCCTCTTAGGATATCGGAGTAGAAAATACTGAAGAAAACCGCCGCAGATACCGCCAATTGTTGTTCACTGCTCCAGACTCTTTGGGTGACCACATATCTGGTGTTATTTTGTTCCACGAAACCTTATACCAAAAGACTGATGATGGCACTCCATTCGTAGAACTTTTGAAACGCAAAAACATCATCCCAGGAATCAAAGTCGACAAAGGTGTAGTTGACTTGATGGGCAGTGAGAATGAATGCACTACTCAAGGTGAGAATAGAAATTACTAAGTTCATTATAAAACAAATTTATGAATTTGTTAATAATGTTTTTATTACATTAGGATTGGATGATTTGGCTGCCCGCTGTGCACAATACAAAAAGGATGGATGCCACTTTGCCAAATGGCGTTGTGTATTGAAAATTGGCAAGAATACACCAAGCTACCAAGCTATTTTAGAAAATGCTAATGTCTTGGCCAGATATGCCTCAATCTGCCAATCTCAACGTTTGGTTCCTATTGTTGAACCAGAGGTTAGACCTGAATCATATTAAAATCCTATCTGAATGCTTATGTGACTGGATCATATTATTTCTAATCTGTTTCAGGTTCTTCCTGATGGAGATCATGACTTGGAACGCGCACAAAAAGTTACTGAAACCGTTTTGGCTGCTGTCTACAAAGCTTTGAATGACCACCACGTTTATTTGGAAGGAACTTTATTGAAACCCAATATGGTAACTGCTGGACAAAGTTGCCCACAAAAACCAACACCAGCCAGTGTAGGAGTTGCCACTGTGACTGCTTTGAGGAGAACTGTTCCAGCTTCAGTTCCCGGTAAATATAAATTCATCAATAAAGCTAATAAATACTATAAAGTTTACAATTATTATTATTTGTACAAAAATGTTTGCATGAATCTAATAAGCATCAATGAATATTCCAGGAATTACTTTCCTCTCTGGAGGACAATCTGAAGAAGAAGCCTCAGTGCATTTAAATGCTGTCAACCAAGTAGAGCTCTTGAAACCATGGGCACTCACTTTCTCATTTGGCCGTGCTTTACAAGCATCTGTGCTTAAAGCCTGGCAAGGAAAGAATGAAAATGTTGCTAAGGCCCAAGCCGAATTACTCAACAGAGCTAAGGTTAGTATAAAATAGGCTTGGGAAAAAGTCTCATAAGACAATTATAAGAATCACATGAATCCGTTAAAAGAATCTTAAATGAAATGAGAATCTAATGTGTGTCTAACTTCAATTTTTAAAAAAATGACTAGTTGCGCAAATTCTTGTTTAAACATCAACTGATTTTAATTAAATCTTGCAGGCTGATGGTTTGGCATGCCAAGGACTGTACCAAGCTGGTTCAATTCAAAGTGGGGCTGGCGGCAAGAGCAACTTTGTAAAAGCTCATGCTTACTAAGTCATGATTGGCATCTAAGAAAATACCATAATCTACTGTTTTATTCTAAAATTATTACAAAAATTTAGTGATCATTAAAAATGATATGTTTGGCCTGTTATTGAGAAATATTTTATACTGTTATATTTTTGTAAGTTTATATGTGAAGTCAAAAGGGAACACAATGTTCACAACATTCCTATGAATCAAATAAAGAAACTACATAAATAGTATTTATAAATGAGGTTTTCATTTACTTATGTATTAGCTTATAGTTAATTTAAGATAAGTTTTTTCTAATTTATATTGTTTATGTATAAACAAAAGTAAACAAAATCATATACATACACAATTGTGTACTTAAATGTTTTTCTTCATATTTGTAAAATGTCACGTTAAAATAAAAATAAAATAAAATAGTAAAAATTAAAATATAAAAAATACTTACAGAAAATTAACACTTAACACAACACAAACACTTTTTTTTTAACGAAAAGTGGCTCATAAATAAATCGTCAAATGAATTTTTCGTTTGGACATAACCTCAAAAAAACATTTCCGTCGCCATTTTGTATCGCCCGAACTTCATGATGCAACCCTGCACTTGCGCCATTAATATCGATATTTTACACTTTAGTATCGATATGTGGATAAGTGATAATTTGAATAACATGCAAAACAAATTTAAAATATGAAGGTGTAGGTGTAATTGCACTTTACTTTTTATTATTAGCGATATCCCATATTAGAAAATAAATAAATAATATATATATATATATATATATATAGAGAGAGAGAGAGAAAGAGAGATATAGAAATGTACATATTGCTAAATAAATACAATAAAAAAATAATAATTTCTAATTGATATCTTCCAAACAAACTTACTTACATACTTTAAATTAATTTATTTCATTCTACTTTGCGTTTTAAACACGTATTTTATTTAAGGGGGTATTCTAGTATTCTAGTGTAGAGCAGGCATCGGCAACCTACGGCACGCGTGTCAGGCTTGGCACGCGACGACGTTCTGCATGGCACTCTACAAAATAATCAGGGCAATCGTAAATATATCGAGACGAAGTGATTTTTAAATAAGAATAAATGTTGAAATATAATTGTAGTAAATTTACACCCATTGTAGTATTTTTTACAAACATGTTAGTAATTTCACACCCATTGTAGTATTTTTACAAACATTGTAGTAATTTTACACCCATTGTAGTATTGTTTACAAACATTGTAGTAATTTTACACCCATTGTAGTATTTTTACAAACATTGTAGTATTTTTATACCCATTGTAGTATTGTTTACAAACATGGTAGTAATTTCACACCCATTGTAGTATTTTTACAAACATTGTAGTAATTTTACACCCATTGTAGTATTGTTTACAAACATTGTAGTAATTTTACACCCATTTTAGTATTGTTTACAAACATGGTAGTAATTTCACACCCATTGTAGTATTTTTACAAACATTGTAGTAATTTTACACCCATTGTAGTATTGTTTACAAACATTGTAGTAATTTTACACCCATTGTAGTATTTTTACAAACATTGTAGTAATTTTACACCCATTGTAGTATTGTTTACAAACATTGTAGTAATTTTACACCCATTGTAGTATTTTTACAAACATTGTAGTATTTTTATACCCATTGTAGTATTGTTTACAAACATGGTAGTAATTTCACACCCATTGTAGTATTTTTACAAACATTGTAGTAATTTTACACCCATTGTAGTATTATTTACAAACATTGTAGTAATTTTACACCCATTGTAGTATTGTTTACAAACATGGTAGTAATTTCACACCCATTGTAGTATTTTTACAAACATTGTAGTAATTTTACACCCATTGTAGTATTGTTTACAAACATTGTAGTAATTTTACACCCATTGTAGTATTTTTACAAACATTGTAGTAATTTTACACCCATTGTAGTATTTTTACAAACATTGTAGTAATTTTACACCCATTGTAGTATTTTTACAAACATTGTAGTAATTTTACACCCATTGTAGTATTGTTTACAAACATTGTAGTAATTTTACACCCATTGTAGTATTTTTACAAACATTGTAGTAATTTTACACCCATTGTAGTATTGTTTACAAACATTGTAGTAATTTTACACCCATTGTAGTATTTTTACAAACATTGTAGTAATTTTACACCCATTGTAGTATTTTTACAAACATTGTAGTAATTTTACACCCATTGTAGTATTTTTACAAACATTGTAGTAATTTTACACCCATTGTAGTATTGTTTACAAACATTGTAGTAATTTCACACCCATTGTAGTATTTTTACAAACATTGTAGTAATTTTACACCCATTGTAGTATTGTTCACAAACATTGTAGTAATTTTACACCCATTGTAGTATTGTTTACAAACATTGTAGTAATTTTACAAACATTGTAGTAATTTTACACCCATTGTAGTATTTTTACAAACATTGTAGTATTTTTACACCCATTGTAGTATTGTTTACAAACATTGTAGTAATTTCACACCCATTATAGTATTTTTACAAACATTGTAGTAATTTTACACCCATTGTAGTATTGTTTACAAACATTGTAGTAATTTTACACGCATTGTAGTATTGTTTACAAACATTGTAGTAATTTTACACCCATTGTAGTATTGTTTACAAACATTGTAGTAATTTTACACCCATTGTAGTATTTTTACAAACATTGTAGTAATTTCACACCCATTGTAGTATTTTTACAAACATTGTAGTATTGTTTACATTGTAGCAATTTTACACCCATTATAGTATTTTTCCCATTGGACTTATGTACATCAAATTATCAGATATTTTATAGAGATTTTAATACTGTGTACATATTTTGTGTAATTTTTTTGGGTTCAGTACCAAGATTTTTAATTTCAGTATGGGAAGTTCTAGCAATTTGAATTAAGGCACGATGTCATGCACCCCACTAGTTAATAAAAATATTTAAAAGATAAATTTGGTTATAATTCTTCATTATCAAACTTACAAGGCTCTGTACTCGAGTACAAAAACTTTTTTGTTTAAAAAGAAGTTATAATTTTAAAAACTAGCAGTGTTTGAAATAGAGGTTCTCAAAAAGTTGACATATGACCATGCCCCCACAATTGCAGAAATAGATATGCTTAGTCCGTGGCCTATTATTACAGACTGGACAATTTTTTATAACTTAGCAATTATGAACTTTTTTAATTAATTATAAAGACCGATCAACTTCTCAAGCCTCTCCCAAGATGTGGTTTATTTTATGTTCAGAATATCATGATTGTTCAAGCCAAAATTAAAGAATCCGATATTATGATGTAAAACAAAATAAAATCTAATAAAAACTCATAACACAAATTTAAATCAATCAATACAATAAATTAAAACTTTGAGGATATTGTAAATAAATATACAATTTGTAGTTATATTAAAAATAAACACATAATTAATATACAAAATTAAAGTGTTTTACAACAAATCATTGGTCCTTCGAAAAAATCTATTAAACCAAACAAACAGTGATATTAAATCTCAGAAATACATAAAAACGAATACAATATATTGTATTATTGCCTTGGGCGTTGAATGAATAAATAAATAAATAAATATAATTTCTGAAGAATTGAAAAATAAAATTTAATCTTCAGTTAAAAGGGAATTCAACTTCTTATAAAGTAAAACATCTTATTGCCATATTTCTAAACAAATTCGAAACATGGTACAAAGAACCATGAAGATATATTATACTCTCATCATGTACATCAGTAACATCCACCTGGTTGTGTAAATGTAACAATTAAAGTGAAGAGATTATACATTCCATACCAGGAGAAAAAACATGTTAAAACAATTGCAACTAAAATAAGAAATCACATGATACTACTGCAAAAAACAAAAATAGTTGGAAAATAAAACCCTATTCTTCTTGACGCATTAGCTGTTTTCTTCATTTCATATGTTTCAACATCTTACAATGCTATATATATATATATATATATATATATATATATATATATATATATATATATTATATCTTTGTTATTTATTTTATATACAAAAAATATAAATATTCAACATAAATTCATTCATTTAATATTATAAACACTTCATAATTTTTTTTTTTTATAAAATATATAAATGGTTATTAAAAAACAATTCTAAGACCGCACAGGCACCACATTTTAAAATATTCTTTTGTACTATCTTTCTATGCTACTCTTTAATAGTTTTATTGTCTCCGAAGACAGATTATATTGATTAGGTTTGAGTTTTGGTAATAAATTCTCATAAAAATGTTTTCTCAAGACTGCAGATGATTTAAAACCTGCAAAAAATAATATAGTAATAAATACTAATATTTTTAAATTTCACTTCAGTTTTAACAGAAGTATATTTGTTTTTGTTTAGCCAAACTGATCATAAGGTGAAAAAGGATATTATGTTTGCATTGTGTCAATTATAGGTCAATTTTTTTAGTTATAAAAAAAAAGAATTAACTATCTTGTTTATGATAATCAAAAACAAATAAAAATATTATAATGCTGATTTAAATACAATGTTATTTATGTTTTAATAATTATGAAATTATTTCAGCAAAAGAAATATCTTACAAAGTCATATTTACCTGTTAAAGTAACACTACGATCCAGCAGTGATATTTGCAACCATTCTTTAAAAATATCTTCCCATACATCAGAGTGAGGATCATTAAGACTTTTAATATAAGGCTCTTTAGTAATTATATTCAGCAACCTCCTATTGTCTCGCATAGTAAACCTTATATTAGGTTTTCTGAAATAATAAATAATAATAATAATAAATAGTTTTTATTATTACAGTTAGTAATATTAAGTGTAATAATTATTTATATTGTATACAATATAATTTCACAGATTTGTATCATTAACTTACTTAATTCCAGCATTTTTTACTTCATTTTTCACTGATCTTACGATCAAAGGCGAATTTATTGTAGTGTCTGTAATTATGTAATTATATGAATTGACAATAATTTTTTTGGCTTATATTATAATAAAATATATTACTTACCTCTGCCGTTGCTTAGTATTTGAAGCCTTTCATTAGCAGCTGACACCTGCAATTTTAAGAAAAATTAATAGAATAATCTTTAAACCAACATTTTTCTAAATAGTAAAAAAAAAATTACTTGCAATATAATAAAATTATAAATCCTTATAAAATTTCATTTGTAATATCCCTTGAAAGTTAATTATAAATATTTTCACTGACAAAACACGTGACAAAATGGACTGAAACCAAAAGCCCCAAGTAAATAAATTAGCAATGATTATTAAAAAAAAATCCCATTCTTTAAATTGTGTAAAACTATAACAAATAGTAAAATGAAGTTCTAATTATTATTAAATTTTAAATACTATAATTATAGTTATGACAAACATAACATGAATGATTGCAATTATCGCATAAATATAATTTAAATAAAAACTTAACTCACATTAGATACATTTTGATCAAAATTTGAAAATAACTTTCTTGACTTTATTGGTGCATCTTTATTGTTATGTAGCACATCAATATTGTTTTTGCTTGACTTTTCCAAAATTTGAATCTTTTTGAGTCTGCTTGTAGTGTCTGTAATTATATAATTATATAAATTGACAATAATTATTTTGGCTTAAATTATAATAATAAAATGTATTATTTACCTCTACCGTTTCTTAGTATTTGAAGCCTTTCATTGGCAGCTGACACCTGCAATTTTAAGAAAAAATTATAAAATTATCTTTAAAACATTGTTTATCTAAATAGTAAAAAAAATTACTCAATGCTTAATATAATAAAATTATAAAATTTCATTTTTAATCTCCCTTGAAAGTTAATTATAAATAAATATTTTCACTAACAAAATGGACTGAATTATTATAGTTACACTATAACAAACATAACATGAATAATTGCAATTATCGCATAAATATAATTTAAATAATAACTGTACTCACATTGGATACATTTTGATCAGAACTTGAGAATAACTTTCTTGACTTTATTGGTGAATCTTTATTGTTACGTTGCACCTCATTATTGTTTTTCTTTGATTTCTCCAAAATTTGAATCTTTTTGGGTCTACCAGATTTCTTTGAAACTTTAGTTGCTTCAATTACAAGCTTCTTGTTTTTATGAACTAATGAACTATCCTTAGGTACTTCTGGTGTATTAAGCCTAAATTAAAATTGAATCAAAATTAATTTATATATATATATATATATAAATATATATATAATATATAAATATATATATAATATATAATATATATATATAAATATTATATATATATTATAATAAATATAAAATTATATTTTATATTTATTTATTTATATATTTGCTTATTTATTATGTATGTGTGTTGTACATAACTTACCTATCGCGTGTGATTTGATCTTTAAGTTTTTTTATTTGTTCATCCATTTTTATATTAGCTCTCGAAATTCCTGCATATTATAAATTACATAAATATTTTCGAAGTACATTATATTAACCAAGTTATCAAATACAGTGGTACGCCGACTTACGAGTGACCTAGCATGCGAGTGTTTCGAGATGCAAGCCATCAAAACAGCGATTTGTTCAACATACGAGCAAAATTCGAGATACGAGCTTTGAGCGAGTAAGAGTTTTCTCGGGAAATGTTATTAACAAAATGTAAATATGAAAAATTTCGTCAGTAAAAATTATTATCCTATCATAAAAATATTTGGCTGTTTTATAATAATAATTTATTAACTTCCCGTAGGGTAAGTTATAGTAATCGCAAAAAAATCGAAAATGAAAATTTTTATATATCTTTACGTTTCAAACGTTTCTGAACATTTTGGCATACCTTAGAAAAATGGATGTATGTCTGCGCGCGTGTGTGTGTGCGGATACAAATTTTCTTCGACGATATCAGGAACACTGATCAACCGATTTGAATAATTCTAAAAATATTCGATTCATAATGATAAGGAGACGTGCTGATTAGTTTTTGGCGAAGGCAGGTCTAGCCGTTCCGAAGATACGGGGCAAAAAGTGCCAAAAACGGTAACTCAGTTTTTAAGGGAACGGAGCGTCTGATTTTAATAATTCAAAAAACAATTTACTTGTATTGACAAGATGAAGGCAGGTCCAGCGGTTATGGACTCTCAATAAAAATAAGTTAAAAAAATGACACTTGGCGGTTAAAAATGTTTATTGGGCATATGTACATCAAATTATCAGATATTTTATAGAGATTTTAATATTGTGTCCACATTTTGTGTAAATTTTTATGGGTTCCGTACCAAGATTTTTAATTATGGTACGGGAAGTGCACCCATGCACCAAACTAGTTTCATTTTTCCACTCGGATGCCACCAGTTGTATATGTTGAGTTCGCGTTTTTTTGTTTTTGTGCATTTACAAAATATAATTTACTTTTATAACTATTGGCTCAAAGAAGAGGCCATGGGTCTCGTCTCGTGAATTAAAGCGTGAAGTTATTGTAAAACATATGTGAACAAAACGCATCATAGATATGTACTGTGTTTAAACAGAAATAGTTGATAAATGCTTTAACTCAAGCTAACAACAGTGCCAAAACAAATTGAAGACATTTATATGGAAAAAATTGCAGCAAGATACGAGCGATTCGACATACGAGCGTGATTTCGGAACAATTTAAGCTCGTTTACCGGAGTACCACTGTAAACATCACTTACCATTTGTACTAGTAGGTACTGGACACCTTTCAGCTGCAGGAGATTTCTGTTACATTTTAAAAGTAATGAAATCAATATGAATTTACATTGATATTCAGTGTTTAGAATTTTGTTTCAATGATTTTTAAATTTTGTATGTTGTAACAATTTATACCTCATGATAATTCAAACAACTAATTTATATATTCTATTAATTTAAAATAATATAAAAACTTTCATCTATATAATATAAAATTTATGCACATTTATGCAAATAATGACTAAGAAAATAATTAGAGTATTATATCTTAATTGCAGTTAAAATGAAGTCTAATCAAATAAAATAAAATCACTATAAACTAAATTCAGATGTTAATGCAGTTTATTGAATTTATGTAGGTTCAAAAATTTGAAATAACAAAAACTCACCCTTGACAAAATATCAATGCAGTTGTTTTTTTGTTTTAGTATATTCTTAAATATGCCATTTTCACCAGGCTGAATTACTTCTTCGATCAAGCCCTTAGGTTTGCTTCGCGTACTAATTTTCCTTTTAGATACATTTTCTGCACTTTGTATCCTTTTATTACTATATTTGCTATTTTCTTTTATAACAATTTTCAGCTCATGATTTTTAGAATCTGATTTCACATTTCTGGTCCTTAGCTTATAAGCATTATTAAATGATAAACTATCATCTTCAATTTGTAATTCTTGATCATAAGAAGTATCTTTAGGTACTTGTGGCGGATCAAATCTATACTTATTGCGTAAGCTGTAAGATTTTATTTTAGTATTCTGAATTAATTCTCTAGATATAGGAATTGGAGACAATTTTGGTGAAGAAAGTATGTTTATATTTTTAGACCTAATTCTGGTACTTCTTGCAAGATCTTCATTAGACAACCTATTTTTAAATCGTTCAACCAACTTAAGCTTATCCTGTGCTACATTTTGGCTGATTTGTTTGGGGGTAGAATTAATCATCCATTGCATTTCTCTAACTGGTTCACAAGATTTTTCAGTTTCATCAAGTACTATTTCAGATGTATTATTATTGTGAACAGTACTCATAGTACTCCCTTCAGTTTTCTTATTTTTAAATAAAGCAGCATTTGATTTTTTTATGCATCTCCATTGATCAAGTTTTTTATATACACCATGCTTGTGTATATTAGATACAACATTTTCGTCTAACTCACTGTTTCTTTTATTATTTTCATTCTCAGAAGGCTCTCGCACTGTACGAAAATCATTGTTTTTTGAAAATTGCAATAAATTTCTATTTGTTATTCCCGTTTCACACATTTTAGCCTTTTGTATTTTCATTAATTTTTGTATCAGATCACAAGCTTTTAAATTACTTTCAATTTTTTCTGAATCATCAGCTGGATTTGATAAATGTTGATTTCTGCTTTCTGATCGAGTGAAATACGAAGAGTTTTCTTGTGCATTATTAGTAGAATTTATTTGAGTTTTAGATTTTTCAAAACAATCATTTAAATTTTGTCTTCTTTGTTGTGATGCAAATACACTTTTATTTACAATATGTTCCTTACCAAGATGTGTTTTAATGAGATTATTTTTACTATTTGAATCAATTTCATCAACTAATCCTTTCAATCTTCTTTTATTAACTGTGTTTTCTATGTACTTATACAGATATGGCTTAGATGTTTTTACCAATTCACCATTATTATTCAAGTGTTTCATATGATCTGTAGGATATTCTGAATGATTAGATCTCTGATGCATTTCTTTCATACAATTCCCATTATTCAAAATCTTGTTCAAATTATTTGAATTTTTTTCGTTTGTGTTTGGACAATTTGACTTTGTGTGAGTTTTATCCAAATAAGATTTTTGCAGATGTCTGAAATAATATTTAAAAAATTCAAATATACTTCTATGTTCAAAAGTATGTATAAGATTTAAATAATAATAATATAATTGAATTATAACAAATTAGGTGTGCTTTAAGTTTTAGTTTGAAAATATAATATAGTATTATATTTATATAGTAAACCTATACTTACGACTCCTGTGAAAAATGTCTGACAGATTTCAAAATATAATTAGGTTCACTCCTTAAATGTGAATCATTTATGTCTCTGGTGCCACCAATAGGGCTTTTATTTATTGTAAGTGAATTAGATGCATTGCCAGTATTGACACTCATTGCTTCACGCTCACGGATGTCTCTAAATTAATTAGTAATTTCAAATATATATATATACGAGGTGTGTTCAAAAAGTACCCGGAATTACTAATAATTAAATTTCGCGGGTCTGGAGTGTCTGATTGTCAAAATTTTTTTTTATTGTGTTGGTATACATGCCCCTAAAGTATGATGAAATTTTCAGCTATATTCACTGTTTACTTTGTCTGTGGTAGTCGCTAAGGTTCGACGTGTTTTTCTGAGCTCGGCGATTTTTACAATGGAAGAATTGAAAAGTCAAAGAATTTGTATTAAATTTTGCGTAAAAAATGAAATAAAGTGTTGCAAAGTGCAAAAATTCACCAGATATGGCTCCGTGTGACTTTTTCCTATTCCCAAAGTTGAAGAGACCCATGAAAGGACGGCGGTTTTCCTCGATTGAAGAAAATCGCTGAGAGTGCTCAAGGACATATCAAAAAGTGAATATCAAGGGTGCTTCGAAAATTGGAAAAAACGCTGGCATAAGTGTATTATATCTAGGGGGGACTACTTTGAAGGGGACCACATTAATGTAGACGAATAAATAAATATTTTTTTGAAAAAACGAAAATTCCGGGTACTTTTTGAACAGACCTCGTATATATATATATATATATATATATATATATATATATATATATATGTATGTATTACTTTGGATAATAAGTAAGCAGCAAAAATAACATTATAAAAATTATTTGAGTGTGTGTAGTATAAAAATTATTTGAATAAGTGTAGTATTTAGAAAAAACTATATTATTTGTAATAATTTTAATAAGTCATACCCAAGGAAATTCTACTAATACGCCCAATGTTTACATTCGCATCAACTTACTTTTCCCATTTTTCGTTATATTTCTGAGATAAAAATTCATCAATTGATTTCAATGAATCTGGATCTTCACTTTGGGTATGAATAACCGGATTGTCTTCTTTGCTAAAAAAAAGAAAAAAAATCTGTTGAAATTTGTATTGTAGTAAAATATTTTTTGTAGAGTTTACTATATGATACCCGTCAGTGCAAACATTTTAGCTAAAAATAAAATGGTTTAATGTAACATTAATAAAATAAAGAAATAAATTCTTCCAACTATGTTTATTGCTGTTTTTATTGTTTGTTTTTATCTAATAATAATGTTATGTTTAATTTAAATACTTTTGAATAAACATAAAAGTAGGTTGATTGTTTATAAAATTATTATATGCGAGTAAAAAAACAGATGTTATTCATTCATAATTAAGAGAAAGAAATTGTCTCAATTTAGAATTATTAAATCATGTATTAAAGGAGAAGAAATATACATACCAAACCAGTAAAACCCAAACATTAAAAACAAAAACTAATTTTGGTTTAGATTTGTATAGATTTGTTATATGTTAAATCAGAATGTATGAAATAGTATCCATTGTTATAACTTACAATAATTCAACATCAGAAAAAGATATGGAAGAGTCTTCTGATGTAAACCCACTCGCTGACTCAATATCATCTAGATCTTCATTATTAGATTTATGAGTTTGTCTATTAATTTGAGAATTATGAGGTTTCCCATTAACATCAGAAATATTATTTTCTCCATTAACATCGATAGTTCTATTTGTGTTATCAAAATTCCTAAAAGAATATTGAAATGACAAAAAATAAAGAAATAAATTCCTCCAATTATGTTTATTGCTGATTTTATCTAATAATAATGTTATGTTTAATTTAAATACTTTTGAATAAATATAAAAGTAGGTTGATTGTTTATATAAATATTATATGAGAGCAAACAAACAGATGTTCTTCATTCATAATTTAGAGAAAAAAAAATTGTCTCAATTTAGAATAATTAAATCATGTATTAAATGAGAACAAATATATATACCAAACCAGTAAAACCCAAAAATTAAAAAAAAACTAATTTTGGTTTAGATTTGTTATATATTAAATCAGAATGTATGAAATAGTATCCATTGTTATAACTTACAATAATTCAACATCAGAAAAATAGTCTTCTGATGTAAACCCACTCGCTAACTCAACATCATCTAGATCTTCATTATTAGATTTATGAGTTTGTCTATTAATTTGAGAATTATGAGGTTTCCCATTAACATCAGAAATATTATTTTCTCCATTAACATCGATAGTTCTATTTGTGTTATCAAAATTCCTAAGAGAATATTGAAATGACAAAAAATAAAGAAATAAATTCCTCCAACTATGTTTATTGCTGTTTTTATCTAATAATAAAGTTATGTTTAATTTAAATATTTTTGAATAAATATAAAAGTAGGTTGATTGTTTATATTAATATTATATGAGAGTAAACAAACAGATGTTCTTCATTCATAATTTAGAGAAAAAAAATTGTCTCAATTTAGAATAATTAAATCATGTATTAAATGAGAACAAATATATATACCAAACCAGTAAAACCCAAAAATTAAAAAAAAAACTAATTTTGATTTAGATTTGTATAGATTTGTTATATGTTAAAATCATTGTTATAACTTACAATAATTCAACATCAGAAAAAGATATGGAAGAGTCTTCTGATGTAAACCCACTCGTTGACTCAACATCATCTAGATCATCATTATTAGATTTATGAGTTTGTCTATTAATTTGAGAATTATGAGGTTTCCCATTAACATCAGAAATATTATTTTCTCCATTAACATCGATAGTTCTATTTGTGTTAACAAAATTCCTAAAAAAATATTGAAATGACAAAAAATAAAGAAATAAATTCCTCCAACTATGTTTATTGCTGTTTTTATTGTTTGTTTTTATCTAATAATAATGTTATGTTTAATTTAAATACTTTTGAATAAATATAAAAGTAGGTTGATTGCTTATATAAATATTATATGCGAGTAAAAAAACAGATGTTCTTCATTCATAATTTAGAGAAACATTGTCTCAATTTAGAATTATTAAATTATGTATTAAAGGAGAAGAAATATACATACCAAACCAGTAAAACCCAAAAATTAAAAAAAAACTAATTTTGGTTTAGATTTGTATAGATTTGTTATATGTTAAATCAGAATGTATGAAATAGTATGCATTGTTATAACTTACAATAATTCAACATCAGAAAAAGATATAGAACTGTCTTCGGATGTAAACACACTCAATGACTCAACATCGTCTTGATCTTCATTATTAGATTCATGAGTTTGTCTATTAATTTGAGAATTATTAGTTTTTCCATTAACATCAGAAATATTATTTTCTCCACTAACATCAATAGTTCTATTTGATAACACTACATTCCTAAAAGAATATTGAAATGACAATATTGTTATAGTTAATGCTCATCCATACATTTTTTCTATCAAAATTAGAGGTGACTAAGCAAGAAATGGCTTTCCGATCTACCAAACACCTAGCCCAATGTTTGCACGCACCCTGATTTAGTATGCAGCATACATCATCACGTCAGTTCATTTATGTTATTATTTTCATATTACTGTTTTTATTTTATTTTTATTTTACCTTTTTCCATTTTATATTCAATTTTTTGCACATATCAATTTTGTAAATAAGACATTAAAGTCTTGTTTAACAAAAATAAATTATAACAAAAAAAAAATAAAATAAAAAATAAATTAGAGGTGACAGAGTGACACCAGCGCAATTAAGATTTATCAAATTATATAATAATTAATCACAATTGTATAAACATCTTATACATCTTTATCCACCTCTTTATTATCAGAATTATAAGTTTGCTTATTAACACCGACATTTCTGTTTGATAACACACTCCTGAAACAATTTTTAAATAGCAATATTGTTATAATATACGTACGTACTTTATGATCTATGGATAATTTCTAATGAAATTACTAGTGACGGAGTGAAACAGGAGCTATTAATTCTTATTAAAGATGATTTAAACTTTTTCAACAAGCCAACTGTTTTACTTGCTAATGCATTAACTTGGCAATTCAAATTAATTAAATATAGCTATAATCATCAGTTGCTTTTACTTCCAAAGCCCTAAAGTATAGCTTAACTTTATACTATTAATTATGAGAAAAAAATGATTCTTACCTTTTCTGTGAACTTTTGTCAAATTTTTGTGATTGAAAAAGATCTAGATGTTCTAAGGTATCATTGGTCTGTAAACTGCTTTTTGCTGGAAACTTATCTATCGTATTCAAATTGCTTATGCTTTCTTGATTATATTCTAATCTAAAATACGAGACATTATTATTAGTAAGTAACAATAAATAGTATGTAAAACATAAAAATTATAATTAAAACTCACCCTTTGTCTACACTTAGATTTACAGAGGTATAAGAAACATTTGACTTGAATCTATCAGAGTCAGATAATTCCATCTTTCAAGCTTATCTCACTAATAAATATGAATTCGTTAAAAAATTTCTTAGTACCAGAATATTTTAGATAAATAAGGCATCAAAACTAAATATAGCATATCTTGAATTTATTTTATAATATCACAAAACTCCTAATTAATAGCATATTCGAATTTATGAGATACTGCTATCTTGTGTATATGCATTATACATTATATATAACTATTGTGGTAATATTCGTATTTTAGGCACTTCTATCACATCATCTATCTTATATTTATTGGCATTATATCTTAATACAATTGTTAGCTGTAAATAATATAATAACGGATTTATTGTTTGACAAGTAATGTTTGACAGTTGCCATTACCATACATTGATAAAAGATGTTTTCTACAATTCTTTTACCTATGGCACCACCAATATTTCCCACAATATTTTCGTTCAGAGAGCTAGGGATTGTGACACCCGTTACGTTGGTATGGCGCTGTAATCGCTTATCATTCGACAATGCCGCGCTCAAATTAAATTCAGTTAAAACACCAAAAGTTTGAAAAGAAAGAATTATTTAAAAAATTATAATTTAGTTTTCAATTACAATAATATTATATTTGATATAAATACAACAAACAAAAACATACCAAACAATAATATATTGTAATAAATATCAGGTCAATAAAATAAATTTAAATAAAATTTACAGGTTCAAATACAAATCACACAATTACAATTATAACAATTATTGTTCGACTCTAACTGTATTCACATAAAGAAATGGAATTCATTAGTAAATTATAAAGCATAAAAGGTTTTTCTAAACTTCTTAACACATTTTTATTTCACTAAAGGTTACACCCTCATTACTATTTTGTGAACCCCAAATTTTGTTTCTCCTGCCGTAAAACCTTGCAAGTTGTTAAAAAGCTCTGTAGGTCGATATAGACCACATTGGGAATGGGCCTTGAGCAATCTATAACGATGATATGATATTCATAGATTACCAGTTGATTGATGAACAATAATATCACCAATCACTAAATAATATCACTAAATATTAATTGTATTAATAAAAATCAAAAACTTAGTTAAAATATTTATTAAAATCAAAATTTGCCTTAAAGGTTTTGATAAATTTTCATTTATTGACGATTTTAACTGCTCAGTTAACAAGGCTTTAAATATTATAATTTTGGAGTAAATAAGATTTTTTCAAATATAATTTTCAGATGGCTCTCTAGAATTTGGTTTCATAGATAAAAGAAGAGTTTTGTTTGTTTGGTTTGTTTGTTTTTAAATTTTATTTTGATTCGCACCGATAGAGGCGTGCTTGAGGTGCTTTTTTACAGGATGCATCCACAGATAAAAAAGAGTGTTAATATGCATTTTAAGTACTATGTAGGTTCCCGCCTACGTTGTTCTGTGCTTCTTAATTATATAAAATGCCAAAAACAAAACAAAACTGCCATTTTAAAATGTGAACGTAAAATTATTTATGGATTTGTACATAATATTATTTTTCTCCTTGTACTTTGAATTTGATCTTTCGGAGCAATTCAGATAATCCTATCAATCAACAGCGTTGACAGATTTTAATATTTTGTTGTAGTAGTCGAATCAAAATGGCAAATAATATTCAAGTGGCCGTAAAAGTTCGACCTCTTATTAACAGAGAGAAAATTGAAAACTTAAGCAGTGTATGGACAGTAAAAGATAATTTAATATTTCCCATAGATTACCCTGAACAGCAATATATATTTGGTTAGTTTTAATTATTATTATTATTATTACATATTAATGTACCAACTGAAATGATTATGAATCATGTTAAATTTAATTATATTTCTAGATCATATATTCGTCGCTGAAGATTCCAATGCAGAGGTTTTTGCAAAAGTGGCTCAGCCAATTGTGGAATCAGCTGTTAATGGAATTAATGGAACTTTATTTGCCTATGGGCAAACTGCCTCTGGAAAAACTTACACGATGATGGGCACGAAAGAAGAGCCTGGAGTGATTATTCTTTCTATATTCCATATTTTTGAGCAAATTAAAAATATTACTGGTCGACATTTTCTGTTAAGGTATATTTTATAATTGCAAATTCAGAAATTTTTAGAAAATGATTATAATAAGACTACGAGGAGAGAAAATTTGAAATAAATTTCATGCAATTAGCAAAGTAATGTTGTGTTATACATAAAAATAGAACACAGTTTTTTTTTTATCCACAGGGTATCATATTTGGAACTTTATAATGAAAAATTACGTGACCTCCTAACAAATGATGGTAAAGATATTAAGATCAGAGAGGATGTAAATGGTGTTGTTATTTCATGTAGAGAAGAAGTGACTAACTGTCCAAACCAGATGCTAGAATTTATGCAAATGGGTAATAAAAACCGTAGAATCGGTGAAACAAATATGAATGAACGAAGCAGTAGATCTCATACCATTTTTAGAATCGTAAGTAAACATGGCAATAGTACAGTAAGCAATGTAAATATGAAGATAAGGAGTGTATAAATGATTGATTTTTATATTGTTAAGCATAATAAAGCTATATACATTTATACTGATTCAAAAATACTCTCCCTTTTGTAGATTATAGAATCCAGTCCACAAAATCCTTCGGATGATGCTGTGCTACAGGTATCACATTTAAATTTAGTTGATCTCGCAGGTTCTGAGAGAGCTAATCAGACATTTGCTACTGGAGCAAGATTAAAAGAAGGCGGTCATATAAATAAAAGTTTACTAGCCTTAAGTTTAGTAATTAAATATTTAAGTGAGGGACAGGATAGTAAAACGTAAATACTTTTTTCACTTGCTTGAAGAATAGTTTGCTCTCTATATTGTATAATAAATTATCTGTTTTCAGATTTATTAATTACCGAAATAGCAAACTAACACGATTACTACAAAATTCACTAGGAGGTAATGCAATGACCGGGATAATATGCGCTATTACACCAGTTGCATTAGATGAGACACATAGCACATTACAGTATGTATACAATATCTAGTTCCTTATATATTTTATTCATATAAATAAAATTATGCATTATATTATTATTAAAACATAATTAATTTATTATTAAATATATTAATTATGAGTGTTATTTATTATAAAGCTAATATTTGTTAAAAATTATTTACTAAATAATCCCTATTATTTTATAAATTAATTGTTAGAATAATTATGTATTGTAAATGACTTAAATTGTAACTATTGAATTTTAATAAAGTTCTATTCTATTCTATTCTATTCTATTTTCAGTTTTGCATCTACTGCCAAAAAGATAAAAAATAAACCACAGGTGAATGAAGTTCTGTCTGAAACGACAATGTTGAAACGAAGGGAACAGGAAATAGCACAGTTGAAAAATGAATTAGAATTAGCGAAATCCAATGTGGTAATTAAGAATTTTGTAACAGAACCACCATTAAGGATAATTTCACTTCTAATATTTGCCTAATATACTTTATTTCTCTTTGTTCTTGTAGAGCACTTCTGATAGTATTAATCAAAACCTTATGGAAAGAATAAAAAAATTAGAAGAAACTATATTACTTTCGGGCACTTCTGTTAATGACAATAGTCAAATAACAAATCAGAAGACCAAAAATCGTAGACGCACATGGTGCCCTGGGTCCTCGTAAGTTCTTACATATTCTGTTTGAAAATGAACTGATAATTTAAAGTGTGATCAACATTTTTAAATTCCATTTATTTTTATGAAAATCATTTGTAAATTATTTGACACGACTTAGATATAATTAGTCAGTGTGAAAAACTTTCATTTCATTTTTGTTTAAAAATTTTATAGAAATTTCATTTTAATAACAACTTTTATAGAAAAGTGATCTCTTTGTTCTAAAACTAATTCAATATGAATTTCAATTTTCAATATGAATTGAAATATTTTTGTTGTTAGAAATTTAAGTACTCCCTATGAAGACTTTGAATTGGATTTGTTTACGGATCTGCAACTGGATTATCAACCACATATACCTGTTAGCTCAAAAATCCCTAGAAAAAAGCCACCTTTAAGAATTTCTACGTTATCAGATATATCTGAATGTGAATCTCGACCATCAATGGAATTATCAATTTTAAATCTCGATCAACTTACTGAAGGTAAGGTGCTTATATGTATTGATTGTTTACAAAATTTCTTCACATTGTAAAATGAAAATTATGAATTATCATTTTCTTTCAACATCTATCAATGTATCAAATTTTATGATAATAGTCATTTGCATTAAATATATGCTATTATATTTGAGGAATGGACATTTTATCTCCAGTAGAGGAAAAAATATGTTGCACCGATGACAACTTAGTTGAAAGAAGTTTTGGGCCTTCGAAGCATGATACACCATGCCGTTTGAAACGGTTGCTTGCAGAAAAAGATGAAGAAATAAAAGAATTTCAAGCTTTGGAAGAATTCCGTAATCAGGAGGTGATTGCAATGATGGCAGAAGTGAATGAGGTCAAACAAAGGTAATATTCAATTCTAATAAATTTTATTTGGTTAATTTTTTGGTAATTTTGAATTTATATTGATTAAGCTTATATCATATGTGATGATTGTTTTTAAAATCAGTTTTTTGTCAGATAATGGAAATTTGAATTTATTTACAGTTGTGAAAAATTGCAAAACACGATCATGGAAAAGGATAAATCAATTCAGGAATTGAATTGTAACCTTGCTCAATTTGAAACCCAAATGGTATGTAAAGAAATTGTACACTAATTTGAGAGAAATTAAATTAATCCACTTGATTTTTCAGAATTCTGCTACTGATGAACTCACCATGTTAAAATCTGCACATAATGAATTGCTTTGTCAAGTAGAATATAAAGAAAATAAATTCCAAACACGGGAAAAAGAACTTTTGTCTTTATTAGAATTAGCTACTAAAGAACAAAATGATACCCAAAAGCAATTAAAAAATGAAATACAAAGCAAAGATGCACGTTTGGTGCAATTGGAAAATTCTTTGTTAATTCTAGAAAAGAAACAAATAGAGCTATGTGAAAACATCAGTGATTTAGAGTCTTCACTTGAGAAGGAGAAAGGGTGCAATGCTGTACTGACAGAAATAATTGTTGAGAAAGATAGACTCATTAATCAACTCCAAGATGCTGCTCTCAATGCCAAAGATAATCAGCTAGAAATTACTAAACTACAAGAAAAAGTAACAAAACTTGAATTCTCGCTTGAAGTAGAACACAATAACAATATTCTATTGGAACAAAAAGTTGAAGAAAAAAACATTCTTTTAACACAATTTCAAGATAATTTTGCTTCATCAGAACAAAAAGTGAAAGAAATTCATGAACTTCGTGAACAACTTGCTGAATTGGACTCGAATTTCCAAAAGAGCCAAACTCTATTAAATGAGATGATGGAGGAAAAGAATATCCTTCTGACTGAATTGAAAGATGCGACTCGCATTAAAGAGGAAAATGAACATTTGCTTGAAAAAGAGATTCAACAGCACAATGCATTACGATTGCAGTTAGAGGATACAGTCATTGTGCTAACACAAAAGGAAAAATTGATCGAAAACCTTCAACAGCAAGATTCTATACTAAAATCCACTAAACTTGATTCACTAAATGAAGAAATTCATGAACTTCATGAAAAACTTGCTGAATTGGACTCCAATTTCCAAAAGAGCCAAACTCTATTAAATGAGGTTATGGAGGAAAAGAATGTTCTTCTGACTGAATTGAAAGATGCAACTCGTATTAAAGAGGAAAATGAACATTTGCTTGAAAAAGAGCTTCAACAGCAAAATGCATTACGATTGCAGTTAGAGGATTCAGTCATTGTGCTAACACAAAAGGAAAAATTAATCGAAAACCTTCAACAGCAAGAGTCTATATTAAATTTCACTAAACTTCATTCACTAAATGAGGAAATTCATGAACTTCATGAAAAACTTGCTGAATTGGACTCCAATTTCCAAAAGAGCCAAATTCTATTAAATGAAGCAATTGAGGAAAAAAATGATCTTCTGACGAAATTCCAAAATGCAACCCATATTATCCAAGACAAGGATAATATAATTGATCAGCTTCAAGCAAAAGTTACTCAAAATGAAGCTGCATTACAAGAGAATAAAAACATTATGTTGGAACAAGACGCACAAGACAAAGATCTATCTGTGCTATGTGATAGTCGTAAACTAATTAAAGAGGAAGTTGATGAATATAAGGCCAAAGCTGATGAATATAAAGGCCAACTTGCTTCATTGGAATGTTTGCTTGAAGAGGAGAAGAAACAAAATGCTTCGATACAAATGCAGTTGGAACATGCAATGGTTACTCTGGCAGAAAAGGGCGTAATAATTGAAAACCTTCAGAAACAAGATTCTGTACTAAATTCCACGGATTATAATAATAAACTTGATTCTAGTAAGAGCTCAGATAAATCAGTCACAGACATAAAACCTGCAATATCAAGGGATTTCCAGACTGAAGAACTTAATTCTGCCAGCGATAAAAACCCTGTCAATGATTTTATTTCTGATCTTGAAAGTTTAATTTCTATTGCAAAAGAAAAGTATGAAGAAGTTTCAATGCTATTGGATGAATTTAGTGAGAAAGAGAAGAACTCTTTGCATCTCCATGAAAAGGTTAAGGAAATCCAAGAATTAAATATAAAATGTCAATATGGTTGTGAAAAGTTGCGACAGGAATTGCAGAACAATGTAGTTAAAGAAGAAGTTAAAAGTGGTTTTACTCGCCGTGCTTCGGTGTTTGAAGATAATTTGAAAGTGAACAATAAACTATTCACCAATCTTTCTGATGGTTTGCAAAACCTGAACAATGTTGATAGTTCACTTCATAATTCCAAAGATATTTCATTACATGAAAGTGAAACTATTGATGAGATAAAGAAAGAAAATGTTTTCTTAAAGAGTCAGGTTCGAGATTATAAGAATGTAGTATGCATAGTACAAAATGATCTTCACATGTTCAGAAAACTTTTGATGGATTTGAAGATGGAATTGGAATTCAATCAAACAAATAGGCATTCATCAAGATTAACAGCTTTAATAAAGGAGGAAATTGACACAACCACAGAAACATCACTTGACTCTAAATTTTTATTGGCTGACAATTCAATTGGTAGTATTTTAGATGACACCGTAACTAATGATGTTTCACTCGTATACTCAACACCAAAGAGGGACTGGACTGAACTAAACGCTGCAGCTCCCAATTCATTTAGTACACCCCATAATGGAACTATGAACAACCTGCTTAATGCCCATGAAAATAATTTGTTTTCAATTAACAAGGGACTGAAATCTGAATTACGCAAAATTAAACTTAGATATTCAGAAATGGAGAAAATACTGAAAGAAATTGAACTCAAAAATAGTTCTTTGGAAATAAATTTGAAAAAAGTCACACAAAAAAATCATGATCTTGAGAATGAAATCGAAACTCACAATCAGAAAATTCAACAATTAAATATGGAGTTTGATGATTTGCAATTACAAAATGCTGAATTAGAAACTGATATAGAAAAATTAACATTGGCTAATTCCCAATTAAGCAAAGAGTTGGAAATAGCTAAAGAAAAAAATGTTCTATCAGACAATGAAAATAGAGGATTGGAACAGCTACAAAATGATATTTTCAAAATTGATATTGAAAAACAAAATTTGATAATTTCAGAATTGAAAACAGAAATAAAATCAATATCAGAGAAAAATGATGATTTGCAGATGAATATAAAAGACATGAGAATGAATTACGAAAAAGATATTTCTGCCAAAGTACTTTTAATTAATGATTTGAAAACAAAGATTTTCTCCTCAGAAGAAAGCCAAGGTCGCTTAATGCAAGATATTGATCAATTGCATAATGATCTTGAAGATCTAAAAAGAAACAAAATTAATCTAGAAGAACAGATTTCCCAAATAACAATTAATTATAACAAATTAAGATACGAATATGATGTTGTTCTAACAGAAAAAATTGATGCACAGAATGCTTTAGAAGAGGCGACCCTTGGATTCAGTAGTAAAACCATCAATGAATCGTCAATAGAGACTGAAATGGCTGACTTAAATAATCAAATTGAGATGCTAAGAAGAACGGTTCAGGATAAAGAAGAAATTGTGAAAGAGCTTCAATTGAAGAACATCGAGTTGAGTGATAGAATGGAACTATCCAATAAAAATTGTGACCAATTAAGAAATGAATTGATTTCCTGTGTAAGAAGGGAAGAATATAATGTTGTAACGGAAGAAAAAATCAAACTAGAGCATGAATTACAAAAGTCACTTGAGAGTAATGAGGTTGCAATGCGAGAACTTGATGAAAAAGTCAATAATCTAGAAATGTTACGGCAAGAAAAGTTAGAGCTGTTGAATACTTTTGAATCAATAAAAGCAGAATTGACAGAACAAAATATTATTGCCAAATCTGAGCTAGAAAGAGCAACATCTGAAATTCAAGTGATACGAAATAAAATGGAAAAGGAAATGAAAGGATTTGTGAAGGATGACTCGTTAATTGTTGAAAAGCTTTCATTGGTCAATCTGTATGATTTGATAATCAAACATGTAATGGAGCAGCAAATTGAAGTATTTAAGCAAATGGAATATAAATTGAACAAGTCTACTGAATGGTCTAAACAGCTGGAATCAGAAATGTCTTCATTAGCTGATGAATTGACGACAATAAGAAATATCAAAGAATCATTAGAAAATGATTTACGTCTGATGCAGGAAAAACTGCAAACTGCAAATGTAGAAATCCAAAATTTAAAGGAACACGGAGAAAAAGATTGTGGCCATGATGATATTGAGCAAGCACTGAATGATCTAAATGTACAATATAATGAATTACAAACAAAACATGACTCAATGGAGAGTTACTTGCAAATTCAAAAGCATGATGCTGAAAATTTGAGGAAACAATACGAAAATCTTAAGCAGGATTATGATGAAAATGTTATTAAATATAAACAAGTATGTGATGAGCATGAACTCTATGTACAGAATACAAAAGGTCAGTTGATAAAGCAGGAGAATGATATTAAAGATTTATCAGAAGAGTTGAATAATGCAAAAACGCAGCTAATGACACAATCGGCTGAAGCTGAAAAAAGTATGAAACGATATTTAGACATTCAACATGCCAATGAAGAGATTAATGGTAAATATAACAAATTGATGAATGAACATAAATCCTGCAAAGAACAAGTGAATGAATCTTTAAGATTATCAGCAGAACTAAAAAATGCTAATAATCAATTAATAATGCAAGAAGCCAAATTAGAAGAAAATTTGAAGGAGCACGAAAAATTAAAACAAACATTTGAAGAGCTTAGTGCCAAATATGATGTCTTATTTGTGGAGCACAAATCTTGCAATGAGCAATCAATTGAATATTCAAAATTATCAGAAAAACTTATAAATATCAAGGAAAAAAATTGTGTGTCAAACCAGGATTTAGTTCAAGAAATTGAAAATAAATATTGTGCATTATTAGATGAACACAAGAATTGTAAGGAATTAGAAATTAAGATGAAGATCTTACAGGAACAAACGGATACCTTAGTTCAAGATTTGCGTTCTGAAAAGAGCATCTTAATCTCAAAATTAGAAGAAGCAGAAAGAAAGCTTACTGAAAATAACGAGGATGATGATAAATACAAGAAAATGAACAATAAATTAAATAAAGATATAAAACTTTTACGATCCAAATTTGCAGAACTTAAGCAAGAATATATTAAAATTAAAGAAAAAGAATTTGATGTTGAAAGCTTCGAACGAGAGAACAAAAATCTAATTACAATGAAAAGAGAAATATCATCTGAATTAGAAGCAATCAAAATGGAGCGAGATAACCTTTCAAAAGAACTAGAACAAGAAATAGAGAAAACTAAATCATTTTTAATAAAAAAAACTGACATGCTAGAGAAGTTGCTTGATTTTAAACCGAATAATCACACAATAAAGAACTCCTGGTTACCAATAAAACCAAATTATCATCAAACCTTTGGAGAAATACTAACAACTTTTATAGAAGAATCTAATGGTAGAAAGGCAAGATTACTTGGTATGGAGAAATTAATTGAAGAATGCGAGCGTCTTAAAACAGAAAATACTACATTTGCTTCAAACATAGAGAGCTTGAAATCAGCTGCTATAGATAAAGAACATCAAATTAAAGAAATAAAAATTCAATTAAGAAATTCGCTTTCGGAATTAGAACACTACATCGAAAAATCACGCAAATTATCTAAGGATTTAGAATATGCCAATTCCTTATTATCAGAGGCTAACAAGGAAATTAATGATTTAAATGGATCAATTTCTCTTTTGAAAAAAGAGTTGTTCAGGTACCATATTCATTAACTTTAAAATATCCATAAATCTTGAATTGATTATAATATTATTTGCAGTGCCAATGAATTGAGCAGTTGCTTAAACAACAAATGTCAATCACTACAAGAAAAATTAAAAGATTTTCAAATTTCTAATGAACGCCTGCAAGATAAAATTCAAGCGCTAGAGGTCTGTAATAAATTGTAAATTTATTTCGTATCATTGAATTCATAAAAACTTCTTTTCACAGAAAGCTAAACAAGACAATTATGAATTAAAATTACGTCGCCGAAGTTTACATGATTCTTCGAGAAATATTAATGAAAAAATTGATACTGCAGATAAATCGTCATCAACAGAACCAGGTGAAAAAAATGCATGCTCCCATAAGATTTTAATATTTTCTAATCTATTTTTCCTTTTTATAACAGATGGTAAACTAACTGAACTTCAGTTGGAAATAAATCATTTAATGAGTGAAACTGCAAAATTGAAGAGAGAGAAAAGATCTATGATATCTGATTTTGAGAATAAGCTACATGAGACACATAAGGTACAAATAAATCTATCTATTCATATATATACAATATATATTTGATATATTAGAGTGGCTAATTTATTGAATTAAACAATATATAATTGTATTTCTTTCAGATCAATCAGAGATTACAAAGTGAAATAGAAATAAAGTCTGCAGAATTAAGAAATATGAATACTGTTATTCAAGAGCAGAACACTTTGGTCGAAAAAAGAAGAAATTATAGTTGTGTCGAAAAATGCGTACAAACAGAAGGCCTTGAGGAGGTAATTAATGCTTCATTATAGAAAAGGATATTTATTCTAAAAATTGATACTAATATTTGGTAAATCATGTAACATCAATTTATTTTAATCCACAGGAGAATTCTGAAATCAAGACCAAGTACTTGAGATATAGGCAACTGTGTAAGATGCGCATGAATGAGATTCAAGGTCTAAAAGCACAACTTGGACTTACACAAAATAAGGAAAATAATCCAAATCATCAATAATAAATTATTCTTTTTAATTGAGGAATGATTATAAATGTGATGTACATTTAATCTGTGATTAATGGTGAATGGTTATTTATATAAGATGAAATATCAAAGTATTATTTATTGAAAATTGTATGAATAGATTTAATTTTTTTATTGTAAGTAGAATAAATAATTTTTATAATTTGTTTAGAAATAATAAATTAGTTTTAATAATTAAAACAAATACTCTTCTTTTCAATTCAGTTCAATTTTTTTAATATAGTATGAATAGAATCATATTCTTATATTGAACGGTTTTGATTTTATGACTTGCTCAGAAATAGTAACAATAAATGACGAATGATTTTGTAAACTTGATATGAATGCATCATCACATAAACCCAATGTGCATAGAATAATTACAATTTGCATTTTAAAATATACAGTTATATTTACGAATACATATTTTTATATTATTTTATTTTATTATTTACTTTACTCATTTCATATTATCTTAAGATAATAATTATTTTAAATTATCGTGTTCATATTCAAATAACAGGAGCCAAATTTCCGATCAGATTATTATGCAATTTTGATGAAAGTTCACAAAAAAAATTTTTGCATATTGATATACATAAAGATCTTTATCCTATTAACGGTGTAATACTTATGTACTCCTAATAGGCAACATATATTTTTAACATAATTTCCATGGGTTTTATTCATATAATTTAAGACATTAATCCAATAACATAAAGTTGTAAAGTTGATTGATAAAGTGAGTATTACTTGTATACAAAGTCAAAAAAACAAACTAGTGGGGCGCATGGCATCGTGCCTTAAAACAAATTGTTGGAGCTTCCCGTACCAAAAATTATTTTCTTTATTTTGAAACATTTTTTTTTAATTCTGAACTTTTTTTCAAAGCAATCGTACTGCTTTAACTGCATAGTGACCAAATATCGAAGCGCGTAAGCGCTGCGTCGCCGTGTAACGGATAAACATTGGTACGTAACCCATAGGAATGTAAACAAAATTTATACTTATTGTTAAAATCTCTATAAAATGAAAAAATGGAAAAAAGTACTTGGAATACCGTCAAATAGAGGTCACCTATCTAGTAATTGTATCTTAAACGACGGAAAAGAATTATAATTATTACATAAGAACCTACACAATATGAGAATATAATATATATTCATACTCACAATTGCTGGTAGCATAATATACTCATTTTCATATTGTCTAGGTATAGTGTCACAATTCCTGGTGAGTTTTGTTGAGGTGGCATCACAAATTGTCCTGAACATTACAGGATGTTCACTAATTTCCACCTGCAATCCAAGAATTCTTTAGAAGCATCAGCAATAATATAACAGATTTAAATAAATAGAATAAACTTACCGGTATGATGTCACATAAAGTTCTTTTGAAAACGAAACTGTCACTTTAACTCAACCAATAAGATGGTACTGGAACTACAACCGGTTCACGACTAATGCGCTCGATGCGGCTTTAAAAATTCAAAGATTTGAAGTTCAAACTGAAGTTGGCATTGTATAAACTTAAAAAAAAACAAGTCTAAAGGTGGCTTAATTTAAACAGAACCTTATTTTTTAAGAAATTTCTGGTGTGTATGTGTATATACATATATCTAGAGAAATAAAAATTAAAGTATTTTAATATATACTAATTATAACTATATTAAATGTAACTATATATACTGATTTATCTGGAAAAAGCAATTCATATGATTCGTTTACAACTTCAGTGTTGTCTTAAAAAGCGTTACCAAAATTAAAAACAAAAAATTTGAATTCAAGTTTTTTTTATTACATCAACTTAAAATATATAAATTAAAGATTATTTAAATTTTTGTGCCAATAATTTATATTCGACTTGTAATACTTTTGTTGTTATAGCAAACTGCAGCATTGTTTCTTCGTCTTCTCATCCTTGAATTGAGTTTGACCATGCCTCGAAGCTTTTCGTCTTGTAATTACACTGATTAACTCATAAAATATCTAAATCAATGTAAAATAATAATTAGAATAGTCAATAAATTTTTGATTAAAATAGATGAGTGAAAGTAAATAATACAAATATACAGGACGTTACAAACACTCATAGGCCACTAGTCAACGATTAGAGTATTGAACACAAAGAAACACAGAAACAACTAATGCAATACAACGAATAATTTCTATATTCAAAAGATGTGAATGTAACTACTTATTAATTTTTTTCTGGATTTGGTCCCTGGAAAATTTGATCAGTTGTATGTATTTTATTCCCAAACAGCAGGAGAAAATTACACACTATATGAAAATAAAACGAATATGCAAACTGAGTCATATATTTAAAGCATTGATAATAAATAATACAATATCTAAACTATTCGAATTTTATATAACTTATTAAATGCTTTATAAAATTTATTTATCAGCAATCAATAAACATTTTTTATACTTGATGTTCAAACATATTGAATTATCAGTGATGGTACAAAGAATGTTTTTCGATTCACTTATGAGAAATGTTGATTTATATATGCATTTTTAATTTATGAATATCCACATAAAGTTTCAGGAGAAATGAAGATGGTACAAGAATAAGTAGAACTTTTTGGTGATCAATTCGAAGAAATGATTTTATAAATTGTAAATACTATTAACTGTAGTATTATAGATTCGAATGAAATAGTTTTGTAAAATTAATGTACACACACAAGAGCTATACAAACAAAAATAGACTAAAGCTAATGCATTTATAAATTTACATAAAACATAAATACATCTAACATATATTTTAAATTAATTTATTTCTCTAAATTATTGTAAATTGTAGGCTTAAATTGTTTCTTAAAAATACAACCAAGAACAAAGATAGGTAGCAGGTATAAGAGAATATTATATTAATGAATGAGAAGAGTATTAAATACTTTGAATGTTTTTTCAGCAATCAATTAATTTGAACTTGTAACAATACATATTTTAAAGATGCCTACAAATATACCTTTATAGAATTTAATGTAGATTTGTTAGAAATTTACCATTTATAATGTTAGTACTTACTTAATTATAATTTACATACAGTTTGAACATTCATACATAATCACTTGATAAATTTCTATATATTATAATATCAAATTACGTGCGCCTCCAGTTAAATATTTTACTACATACATCTAAAAAATTGTTGCTGGCCTTGTATTTCTGGGATATATTATATCAAAGTTATATATTATGTTTATATACTTAAGATTAAAATGCATTTTTAAAGCATTAATAATTAAAAACTAATGTGATTCTAATTCATATTTAAGAAGAAATAACGGCTCAAACTTGTAAGTATCTTCATAATAAAATCGAAGATTTGAATCAACAAATTTTAAATAAAATTTAATAAAAGAAAATTTCAAAAGTTTCCAAAAACTTAGTACAATCATTATTACATTATATATTAATAATTGTATGAACATTATTCAAACCTTTGTATCAAATAATAATAAAAATAAAAAAATAGAAGCAAACTCAAAAGCCTTTGAAAGCATTCCCGAAATGTTAATAATGTGCACTTATTCATTAACAAAATAAAATTATCAGTTAAATATATTAATTAATTTAAACAATAAATATCTGTATTCTAAAATAACTGGAATAAACTATGATAATTTAATATGAACAATCACTAAAATTAATTCATGATAATTAAACTAAACAAAAATAAAATGTAAACCAAATAAGTTATTTAAAATATATTACTTTCATAATTATAATAGTTCCTTCAAAAGTACATTACAAGTTTGAGAATCCGCAAAAGAATTGAACAATTAGAATTCTATAAGAAATAATATTACAAAACCAGCTAGAAGAAGTTAATATGTGGCAAATAATACAAAATTTATTGAACTATTACCACTTTAAAAAAATCTCATTTGTTAAGGAGTTTGTAAGATTTTCCAAAACAATTTGTTCACAAACAATATACCTGTGGTATTTATTCAACAAACTTTGTATAAAATAAAATTCACAACAAAAATATATATTAAAACACATAACAAAAAATATAAAGAATGAATACATACACAAAATATTAAATATTTATAAGTCATATGCATTACTGACACGTCTAGAGATTTTATACTAAAAACAATGAGCATTCAATTAAAAAATAATGTAGATGATTTTAATTATTTATAATAACATGATTAACAAATAAATTCATCACTATAAAATAAATCTCTAAACGTTTCAAAGTAGACATTAGAAGTCAAAAATATAAACTATAAATGTGCACGTACATAATAAACGAAAAGTTATACAAAATATAGATAACATAAATGGCAGCGGTTATTTGAAGTCTGACGTTTCTGATAAAAAACGCACAGATGTGCGGATCATATTTGTGATTATTTCTTTTTATTTCACAACTATCTTAAGATTGATTTGTATATTTAAATAGTATTAAATCAGTGTGCATTTAATCTTCTTTCGTTTGCATTTATCCTTGGCCCGGCCACCTGTTGCTTTGCTATCTTCAGTTTTCCGGGCACGAATTTCACGCATCAAATCAAAGAAAACCTGTGAATGATGGCATGAAACAGAATGCAACATAGTCAGACAAGGGTAACAGTACAAAAGCAGAAATAGATAAAAGCGTATGTCTATAGAGGTGAACACTATCATTTAAAAGTAACTTGAAGATTATTTCAGAAAGCATCAAACAAGATCGACAAATACTTTTGGTATTGTTAGTGTTTACAAATCCAAACATTAATTAGAAGCACAGTCAAGATTTGACAATAATCCAGATTACCCTCAGGATAGAGGATAATAAAAGTTCACACATATAAAAACCAAGATTATTATAGTTGTGAGTCAAGGAAAAAGGATAAAATTATTAATATGTAGATTTTAGTAAGAATAAATATCACAAAATAAACATGTTTTCACTTTTTCAGTAGTATAGACCATCAATTTAAACACATAATCCCCATAAATTTATTATGTTTGTCAGGGTAGTTTATGGACGTAATGAAAATAAATCAATTAAAATCAAGAATGTGCATAAATTAGATAAAGCTGCTATTCCATTTTTTATTTACCAGACAATCTAAGATAAACTTGTCATATTAAAAATTTTGCAAATAATAATTAGCTTATATTTTATATAATTCACTAATGCTTCTTAAAAGATAATAATAAGCTTAAATTAGGTAAGAATCTTGGAATTTAAGATGCCCATCTGTAAATACTTGTATATTGACACCCTGAAAATTGTCTCCAAACCTACATATGGTATGTACACCTTACCAAATGTAGGTTTTGAGACAACTTTTAGGGTGTCAATATACAATTTACAGACTTACAGCTGGGTATCTCGAATTTCGAGCTAAATTTACTATAATGACTGGACTATCTTGTCAATTATTTTTGGCCAGGACAGTACCAAAATTCCACTTTGTGTAAGGTTTTCAAAAATTTTAGGTTTAAATTGAATCTTTGCAATTAAATGTAATATAATTACAACTACCCATTAAATTTCTGAAAATGTCATACACAACGAGTATGCTTATATGGAATAATATATTATGCATGAGAAAATTGCCAAATGCAAAACGCCAAAAATTAAAATAAAGTATTCATTCACATTAGTATGTTATTCGGAATTATTGTTTTCAATATTACAAAAATTACAAAAATTATGGGATCTAACTTTTTGACTGCCACAAATACTAATTTTTACTAAATTAATTATAAGGCAAAAAAAACTATAAATTGCATAATTTGAGATATCACACAACATATAATCTTATAAAAAAACTTACTATGAGTCAGAAATTCTGATTTTGAATTAATTTATTCAAAAAACTGATTTTTATTAATTTATTGAATCATATTTTTATTTAATAATTGAATTATATTTAGTGATTATATTTAACAAATTATATTTTGCATAAAGATCTCTATCCCCAAGTTCTGGGATAGCATAACTATAAATTGCCATCCCAGTTTTGATATAAAAAACTTAGTCTCCTTATTAACGGCATTAATTTTACCTTTTTTTATATAGTACTCCCAAATTAGTAAATAATTTCTAAATCTATAATTTTAATGATATATAAAAAGCACAAACCTTATCAACATTCTCTCTAGTCTTTGCTGATGTTTCCACATATGGTACATTCCATTGCTCTGCTCTTGCTGTACAATCAGCCAGCGATACTTTCCTTTTGTCATTTAAATCACATTTGTTTCCCACCAGAAGAAAAGGTATACTTTCATCATTTTTTACACGCAAAATTTGATCCCTGAGTAAAAAATTTTATTTGAACTTCAAACATTACATCATATTATTACACACAGAACTTATTCTGTAATATTTGTTATGTTTTTATTATCTACCTGAATTCTTGTGTAGCTTGAAAACTTTCATCTTCAGTTATGGAAAACACACACAGAAAGCCTTCTCCACTGCGAAAATAGTTATCACGGATAGCAGCGTAGTCTTCTTGACCTGCCGTATCCAAAATATCTATTTGAACTTCTTCACCATCTAAAACTACCTAAAATAAATAATATAAAGTCGTTTAAAAAGCCTTAAATTTGATGAAAACTGCAGTTTGAATCAAATATAGTGTTCATCTTATGGAAGAACTGGATATCCTGTCAAATCTTTTGATGAACTTTAATCATTTTAATACCGGTACTATAGTATTAGTTAGACATACTACACACTTATTATTAACACTATTCGCAAGTTTCAGTACAAGAATTTTGAATTAGCATGAATTCATAATCAAAGAAAGTTTATTACAAATTCCATCACAAAATGACTTTCTCTATATAATTTATTTAACTATTGCTATCAAATTAAATAAGTAACTAAATCAACAATAGTGAAACAACACTAATCTAAGATGCAAATCTAGGATGAATTTTTTACCTTTTTTCTATAGCTATCTGCCTTAGTAGGTTCATAATCTTCTACGAATTCATCGTACATGAATTGTAATGTCAGAGCACTTTTACCAACACCTCCACTGCCTACCATAATAACTTTATGCAAGGCAGGCGTTTGATGGCCTGTTTTTTTCGACATTTTGTTACACTAAAAATAGTAAAATAATAGTTATATATTATATTAATTGTAAATTACAATAAAATAGTAAACCTCATATATTTTCCTATAAATCAAAATTAAATTCAACTAGTTGGGTTGGTATTTACCCTTGAGGCAAGTTACATGAACTTCCCGATATGTATAAATAATCGACTTAATCAAAAAAAAATGTGTAAATAATATACTTCATCAATCCTACTTTAAACTAGCTGTAAGTGGAATTCTGTCTTGAGGCAATTATGGCATCGTGCCTTAAGGCAAATTGCTGGAACTTCCCGCACCGTAACGAAATGTTCGAGGAATACTGAATGTTTTCAAATAGATTATTATAAATATTGTAACATTGTCTAATATTTATAAGAATTATATAAACCGAATTGCAGAGTTGAAATTATTTTTAAAGTATATTAGAACTATAGTCAGAATTAAAAATAAAATCTGAAATATTTTCGATATACAAAATACAAAAAAAAAAAAAAAAAAAAAAAAAAAAAAAAAAAAAAATTGGAACAAAATTTTTTTTTCAAAATCAATTATTTTGTTAAGACAAGCAGAAAGTTCTTTGAATCATTTAAATCGGACGCTTAGTTCTCTCAAAAACTGCCATTTTTTACATATTTAGCTCCGTATCTTCGAAATGGCTGGGCCTGCCTTTGCCAAAAACTAACAAACACTTCTCCCAATCATTACTAATTGAATGTTTTTTAGATCATTCAAATCGGATACTCCGTTCGCTCAAAAATTCGATTTCTATTTTCTGCACTCTTTGCTCCGTATCTCCGAAACGGCTGGACCTGCCTTTGTCAAAAACTAATCAGCTCTTTTCCCAATCAATAGGAATCGAATGTTTTTTGAACCATTCAAATCGGTTGATCCGTGCGCCCTAAAACGTGACTGGAAATTTGTATCCATACATACATACACACACACACACACACACACACACACACACACACACACACACATCCATTTTTTCTGAGGTATGCCAAAACGTTCAGAAACCTTCAAAACGTCGAGAAATGTAAAAATTTTCAATTCCGATTTTCGGCCCATTACAATAACTTACCCTACGGGAAGTTAATAATATATAGTACAATTTTAAAAATACAAGAGGTGTATATTCTCAAATAATAAAAACAAATATAGAGTCAAGATTCACTAAGTAAACACGAACATAACGTTAATTAGTAATAATATAATTCCAGGATATGAGTCATACAAGCAAATTGTAGATAAAACAGTAAAAGGCGCTCCCTTTAATACATATAATAATAAAACGTGCATCACGTCGTCTTATGACATTAATTTGAATATCCTCCAACCGTGACCGAATTTTAGAAAACCCTCACATAAATTGATAATAAATGTGCAACTCTCACGCAATTTGTAAAACACGCTAGAAACACATCACACAATAACAAAAACACGATACTTATTAACAAAATTCATATATTCATAGAACTTGTGATTTTATATGGATATTACACACATTTCACTTAAATATCATTAGTGATAACAATTGTGAGAACTGGAGGCGTTTCCTCTAAAACAAACCAGTCAATGACCTGTTTATTAATTTTTAGCGGGCACATATCGAAATACTCATTGTAGCAACTATTTAAAACTACTTACACTGTAATATAGCAATAACACACAAAATAAATATAAGATATCTTTATTCTAATTCAAGCGCTAAATGACAATCATTTAACACCTAATGTCAAAAGAACCATTCATGTAAACGAACGCTTAACATTCTTTAGTGTTACCATATTGAAAATAATTCCCCAAACAAACACTATTTTTATCAGGAAAAAAGCCAAAATAAATTTTATGTAAATGTAAATTATTAATTATTTAGAGAATTCAAAAAGAAACGCATTGAATCCTGAATTGTTAATTCTAGAATATATATATATTTAATAAATTTTATAACAAAATCCATTCTGCACTGTCAACATGTCAGTTGTGTCAATATGGTGTCAATGACATAGCCAAAAACCGGTGACAATAGTGACTGATAGTGACTCTCAAGAATTTTGGGAAACGTTTGATTACCCAGAAGTAATATATACATAAAAATAGCATCATGGTACGTATATAAATCAAAAATTTTATCTTCAATGTAAATAGTTCTAACTTAACAATCAATTTTAGTTCCGCAATCAATATGATAGCGATGTTACCGTTTGGAGTCCTCAAGGTAGGATACATCAAGTCGAATATGCGATGGAGGCAGTTAAGCAAGGCTCTGCAACGATAGGCCTTAAAAATAATGAAATAGCAGTGTTATTAGCTTTTAAAAGAGCATCATCAGAATTATCAGCTTATCAAAAGAAAATTATAACCATTGATGATCATATAGGAGTTTCAATAGCAGGATTAACAGCTGATGCTCGAATGTTAAGGTACATTCATTATTTACTATCATTTGTTTATCCAATATGTTTTTTATATTAAAACTTTTACCACAGTCGATACATGCGATCTGAGTGCTTGAATTTTAAATATGCACAACAAGAACCACATCCTGTAGGCCAACTTATTTCTCATTTGAGCAGCAAAATGCAAGTTTGCACACAGCGTTATGATCGCAGGCCCTATGGAGTTGGATTACTGATAGCTGGTTATGATGTATGTAAACAAATAAAACTTGTAAAACCATATAATTCATCACTGAATGATTTTTGATAAAAAAAATTATTTAAAACTTATTTACATTTACATAATCATGTTCAGTTTTTATTAATTACATTATTTTATTCTAACATTTATTGTACAGTGTATTGTTTTTGTGACTTACACAACATATGATTTTTTAGGATAATGGTCCACATATATATCAAATTTGCCCTTCTGCCAATTATTTTGAATGTAAGGCTATGGCAATCGGCTCAAGATCCCAAAGTGCACGTACATACTTGGAGAAATTTTTGGACAGCTTTAAAACTTGCACAAAGCAAGAACTTCTGAAACATGGTCTTAAAGCTCTTCGAGATACTTTGCCAAATGAAATTGAATTGAATACTAAGGTAAAATTAATATACTACATATACTAATCTTCATTATATATAATATATCCAATTCCTAAATATTATATTTACATTTTTCAGAATGTTTCAATTGGTATTGTGGGAAAAGGATTAAAATTCAATACACTCTCAGAGAGTGAATTGCAAGTATATTTATCAGACTTGGAAGGAGATGGTCCACGTCGTCCTCCACCAGAAACAGCAAGTACAACAGGGACCAGCGAAGTAGGAGAGGGTGAAGGTGAACCTCCTGCAGCACCCACAAGTACAGAAACTATGGATACAGATTGAAAATTTGAGATAGGCAAGAATTATCTCATTAAACAAATTCATTTTGATACCTTTCTTCTTCTATGTAAAAATGTAATGCCCTGACTACATGCTTGTTTTAAAACTGCAACATGTAGTCAGGGCAAGTACACTTTAGTGGTAAGACAAAAGCGATATTTTCTAACTTTGTTGTCTATAATGTAATGTTTTTAATGAATATATAAAATCTTGCAATTATGCTCTAAATTGATTATCCACCTTAATAAATTTTTCAGATTTTTTCATATGAAAGCCGAATAAATCTGCTGACAAATTATTGCTAATAATATTAAGAACAAGTAAAGTAACTAACTATAAAACGTAGGTTTTGGTAATATGAATACAAATTTGTGCTAGAGTACAATAAAAAATTGCAATTTTTTCATTACTATGAAATAGATATTTCTCTCTAAATAGTAATTAGTGATAAGTAGACTGAAAACTTGGTAAAAAGTACACAATATTATGTGCGTATTTAATTGAAAGTTAAAGTGATATGTGTAAATAATGGACAAAAAAAATAAACGTAGACATCGATATTTAGCAATGTTTAAAATTACTAAAAATAAGATAAAATTTTGAAATTTTGACACAGTCCATTATTCTTGACTTTAAATATATTTTTATTATTTAATACCATGACCTCTCTCTATACAAGTTTTTTCAAAATGATAAAAAAAAGTTTCTTTTGATGAAAACTTATTATCAAAAACTAGACTTTCCAATGTACCTTTCCCAACTGATATCTTTTCGAACGGTTTTTAAAATCGGTTCAGGATTTGTTCACGAAAAATTGTGCGCTTTTCAACAAATTATAAAAAAAAACAGCTTGGCCGATCGTTAGCAAAACCACCTGAGTCCTTAAAATGGCTTTTAAATGTTTGAAATCGGTGCAGTTGTTTTGAGGAAACGTCGACGTATTCAAAATTTTGAATACATACAAACGCATTTCCAATTTTGTTCCAAAAAGCAAACAATCAGCAAGTCGGATTTTTTGGCCTGTCGAGAAGTTAATAATGAATTTTAATTTTTTTCTAATGTAAATTTATTTCACTTCAAAACATATTATAAAAGCCGGACGCTTACTATTTCAAAAAGTATATGGAGATCAAAGATATGATTGAAAATTATGAAATTCATTAACTTCATTAACAATAAATTATTATAAACAGTTTTGAATTTTAAACTTGTATTAAAACTGTTACAAATTAACCGATTTAAATTAATCCTGGCGAAATTATCACTGAAGAAGTTGAATTGGTTGGGCTGATGGTTTACCTCAACCATTGATACACAAATAAACCAATTATTAAGATATCAAAACAGTGTTACGTATATTAATATACATTTAGCTCATTTGATATGCAAATGAGTTACAATATATAGATATAATCTAATCGGGCGGGACCTTGCTTAAAAATATGTTTATGAGTATTTATATTCAAAACATCTATGTGAAAAACAAAGATTATCTTTCAGTTTGCGGTAAAAATATTGAATATATATACATGATTTTGTAATTTTGATTGAAAACACAGATATTAATTGGAAATTTAGTTCTAAAACTTATTGGAAAAATATGTTTTGAATTGAAAAGTTCATTTCGGGCACTGTAGTATGAAATGGTATCTCTTACACTATAGTATAAAATAAAATAAAAATATTATAAATAAATATATTTATATTCTTCCCTGAATCGAGTTGGAGTTTAACACAGCTCACAGACCTGCCCTAGGACAGTTTTATCCATTATATATATTATATATATTATGCGTGTTATTTTGGAATATTTGGCCAACTGCCCAAAATGAACTTTAATCCATATCTCGAGTTCGCACATACATTGAAATCCAACCTATCGATTTCCCGAATTTCCGTTTTAAATATTAAATAATTATTGAATAAACGAATTAAATAGTTTCTAACATAATATTATTTAATAATTATTTATTTAAATTGACAAGATTTAGTTCAGTTGTGCCATTAGTCAATATATTACAAATTAATTAATTTAATATAATAAATTTAATTTAAGTGATAAATTTTGAAAAGGAAAAATTATCACTGAAGAAGGCAATAAGATTGGTTGTTGAATGGGTATAGAGCTGTTTCCAAAATACTATTATCGAAAATAAAAAAAACTTTGAAATGATATAAAAAATGAACGAAAAAATAATTATTTTTCATATATATTTTTTAGATAATATTGCATATTAATTTACAGTGTTATAATTAAATTATAATATCAGAGTTGAGTATTTATTAAAATGAATTGTTAAAAAAATTAAGGTGTACGCAACCATTTTATTTAGAGACAGGAAGGCGCGGTTCAAAAAGGTTTTTTCTATTTTTTTTTTTATATATTTATTTATATAGCCTTAACACTAAAGTTATTTAGCCAGTTACATTCATACATAATAATAATTATAACTATATTTATCAAATGTACCATAAACATATTCTTATTACTAAACAAAAAGGTTGGAAGTAACTGACCTAATATTATTATAATGATATATTATATATGTATATATATATATAATATATATATATATATATATATATATATATAATTCAATCTATTTAGTTACATATAATCTTATTAAATATGTAATCCAATTGATTACATGCATAAAACCTTACTTCTCACAGTTGAACCCCGTTAAAAACCGTTTATCCCCAATACGACTTTCCGCATAATACACCACACTTTGTACTTTGGAACAATTATTTTATCACGCTTAATACGCTTTCTCGCATAAGACACGTTTTTGACTGGTGTCTGTGTATAATATTGAAAATCTTAACAAGGTTTTCAAGATTTAACACTTAACCAGGTGCATTTAATACAAAATATATTTTTTTCATTTTTTTTTTTCAAAATATGACATCAGTATTGTTTTTATTCAATTTTATTCTGCAAATGATATCAGTATGATTTCAAATTAATTACAGTTTTTATTTTAATATGATGATATAATATTACATATATGTATATATACATATATACATATATATATATATATATATATATATATATACATATATATGCAATATATGATAATTTGTGATTCTAGGTGCTAGCAGAAAATTAGAACATGAAGTAATTCAGAGCACAAATAATGAAAAATTTAGGTTTTGAGAACACTGAACCATGCTTTCTGTGTTTATACATAAATACATTACATAAGAAATATATTTGAATTATTAAATAATTTTAACAATTTCTCAATTTAATAGTTATGTAAAACTATTAAATAAATATAGTAATCCCAATATAAATATGGGATAACCAAATCTTTATATCAATAATATATCAGTATTAATGATAACATTATTCGCACTTGAAAAAATAACAAAACAATCTTAATTTTTCTGGATTTATCTTCTAAACAACACATAGGAAAAACGTTTTTTGTATTAAAAAATTTCTTTAATATTTTTAAATCGGTTAAATATCACAAATGAATATGGAATAACCATATAAGGGATAGTTGTTATATCAATACAAATTAATACATATATCAGATGAAACATATATTACTTATAATATATATAAATATATATATATATATATATATATATATATATATATATAAATGTATTATGTTATGTTATATTTATTGCCAATTTATTATATATGGGATAGTTTTATTCCATATTTTTTGTGATGTATTTTGTGATGTATATATATATATATATATATATATATATATATATATTATAAAACATTCAATAATGTATTAAAATATGATATTATGTATTAGGAACCTATCCTTGATTATGCCTGATATTAGGACAGATTGTGTAACTGTCTGAGCTCCCCTTCCTTTCGGCATAGTAGCCTAAACAAAAATTAGGATTCTTTCACACTTACCTATAACAATTTCTCAAGAATAAAAGAATTAACTAGTGGGGTCCATGGCATCGTCAATTAATAATCTTGGTAAGGAACCCAAATAAATTTACACAAAATGTGTACACATTATCGAAACCTCTATAATATATCTGATAATTTGATGTACATATGTCCAATAAACATTTTTGAACGCCAAATTTTTTTTAACTTATTTTTATTCAGAGTTTATAACCGCTGGACCTGCCTTCCCAAAAATCGGACACTCCGTTCTCTTAAAAACAGAGTACCGTTTTTGCCCCGTATTTTCGAAACGGCTAGACCTGCCTTCGCCAAAAACTAATCAGCACGTCTCCTTATCAATACAAATTGAATGTTTTTTTAATTATTCAAATCGGTTGATCGGTGTTCCCAAAATCGTTGACGAAAATTTGTATCCGCACACACACATACATCCGCATACACAACATGTGTGTGTGTTTTTTGTGTGTCCGCATTTTTTCGTTCACGTTTTCGGGCGCACGGATCAACCGATTTGAATGGTTTAAAAAACATTCGATTCCTATTGATAGCGAGATGTGCTGATTAGTTTTTCGCAAAGGTAGGTCTAGCAGTTACGGAGATGAAGAGCAAAGAGTGCAGAAAATAGAAATCGAGTTTTTGAGAGAACGGAGCGTCAGATTTGAATCATCTAAAAAAAATTCAATTAGTAATGATTGGGAAAAGTGGTTATTAGTTTTTGACAAAGGCAGCCCAGCCGTTTCGAAGATACAGAGCTAAATGTGCAAAAAATGGCAGTTTGTGAGAGAACTAAGCGTCCGATTTGAATTATTCAATAAACTTTCTGCTTGTTTTAACGAAATAATTGATTTTGGAAAAAAATAAATTTGTTTCAACTTTTTTCTCAATTTTTTTTGTCAAAAAAATTTTTTTTTGTATATCGGAAATAATTCAGATATTATTTTTAATTCTGACTATAGTTTTAATATACTTTAAACAAATAATTTCAACTTTGCAATTCAGTTTATATAATTCTTATAAATATTAGACCATGAGTATATATTAGACAATGTTACAATATTAATAATGATCTATTTGAAAACATTTAGTATTCCTCGAACATTTTGTTACG